AAAACGTCACCTCTGGCTCCAGCTGCAATGTTAGGTGCTGTGTAAGCCTCTGAAATTCCCAGCATTAATTTGACTGTGGAGGTTGTATCTCTGGCTTCTGTCAATTCAAACAGGCAACTAAGACAGGTCCCCAAAAAGCGAATCTGTTAATGCTGTTAATTTAATGAACCTGCAGCAGATGCAAAAGCTGTGACCTGACCAAATCCCTTTTAAATTAGTGCTGTCATCTGTAGAAATAAGTGGGGTTGCAGCCTGGGTGGAACACGTGTTTGCAAAGCACCCCTCGATGAACCAGGGCAGTGCCAACCAGTGGCATGTCCGGGCTCCCAGAAACGATTCAGGGCAAGGTAGAGCCAGATGTGCTTTTGCCACAGCTCCATCCACATCAGGAGTAAACTGAAACTGTGGTTTCCAGTCTCACTGGCAAAAAATAAAACCCGAAACTGTGGGTTTTTTTGATTGTGGGGACATCCTTTTACCTTGAGGGTCCGATGTGACTCTCCTGTTCTGGCTGTGCTTTACCTCCTGTCTCTGATCTCTGCAGGACCATTTCATACAAAGAGGTTTTCTCTATGGCTTCTGTGTATTGCAAAACAGAAAAAACGGTCATACCCCAGTAAAGGGGGTTGTAATTATCTCCTCCACGCCCCTGTTAGTGCTCCACATTGCCCTGTGCCTGTTTTGCAAGCCTGAGGATGGCTACCAAAATCCACACTGCTGGCTACTGCAGAGGAGCACCAGAACCATGTAAGACACCCAAGAGCTAGGAAAAATAACAAATCATGGAACACTTTACAGAACAACTTACAAGTTAACACACTTTTCAGAGGAAAACAGTGGTGCTCATACTGTTAGCTGTGATTCTCCCTTTGTTTTGAGCTCAGTAACAATTACTTTTCTTTCCCATCACTTTTTTTCCTGTGTTGAAAATAGGTGACTTTATAAGGAGTTTAGGGGGGCTTGTGATCCACCAGCCTTCCAGAGGTACAACCACCCCTGCCTGCTGTACTTTTAAACTTTAAAGGAGATTATGAGGGGGGGAAAAAAGGAATAATCCTGGTGTGGGTTATACCTGCAAGAAATGGAAGGCTGAAGGAGCAGCGTGAAGACCACAAAGAGCAAAGAAAGGGTGGGTGTGACATCTTCACATCCTCTGGGAAGCAGGTGCTTCACTCTGCTGTAGTCCAGATGCCAATAAATCTCCCAGCCTGGTGAAGCAAAATGTGCCCTGAAGCAAAATGCTGCTTAATACGAGACTGCTGCTGCACCAGCAAAATTAAAATTGTCAGGACATAAACACATCTCATGATTTTGGAGACCTTAGCTCCCAGCTGAACCCACCCACAGGCAAATCCAGAAACAACAGTGAGGTGAATAATTGTTTCCAAGGTGTAGCTATAACTGCCCTGCCCTACCAGTCTTGGTCCCACCAGTCATTTCACACGGGACAAAACTGGAATTAGCCTGAATGCAGACTAATGCTTTTCTTCATCTGTGTCACTCTGGTCACTGCTGTGGCTACCTCAATTTTTTTAGCCCACCAAAATATACTATTTTGGTATGTGGACTGATTCTTCCACCCTCTCTTCCTATCCAGTCTGAGAGCTTTGTTGGGATTTCAGTTGTGTACACAAGGACAGCTGACCCTCAGCACCATAACCCTGAGCACACTCTGCTCTTGGTAGCACTCAGCTCTGCAGCTTTCCCTTCCCACCCACACCCAGTGGGGGTCAGTCACGTCCCTGGGCATCCCTCTGTGAAAGTGCTGAGCCCTGCAAAGTCTCAGCACTTCCCAGTTCTGTTTTTCTAACTTGTAGCCTCTCTTCTGAAGTGGGGGGCAAAAATGAAAGAAGAAGGAAAAAAAAAAAAAGGACTGATTCAGGTTTTGGCAGCTCTCCTGCCACAGAAGAACATTCCACACTTGCACATGAAAGGGAATTTTTAGCAAACCAGAGCAAAGAGTCAAAATAACAAACACAAACAATTACCAACAAAAATTGCCACACTCAGTGGTTTTTCTGACTGCTGCTACTGGCTCAGTGAGAGGCTGGGCCGTTGCCTAATCTTGAGCTCAGAAAAAGACAGCCCATCTTGAAGTTTACAGTGCTATTGGCCCAGCTACAGAGGATAGGATTTCCCTTAAGCCTCTGCCCGAGGCCTAATGGTGACTCCAAAAATAACAAGTCTCCTTGAGGGTGGAAATTCTGGTTCAGAGAGATTTTGTTCATGTTCCGTAAACGATGCACAAATATTCATCTCAGTGGACGGAAAATGCTTAAAAAGCTGCACAACCCAGCGAACGGGACCAATCCTGACATGGAAATAATTTACTTAATTCCTTGCAGCGCTGCTGCCCCTCCCAGCCATCTGCTGGCTGGGGTGCCAGTGATAATCTGCCGAGCAGCTTGGGCGATGAAACCTTTTGACAGGCAGAGATCACAAAGAGTTCACTCATTTCTCTACAGGAGGAGAGGAAGTGGGTGGGGAAAAGGGATGAAAGGATAAAACCCCCGGCTCGCAGTCTGCTGGCTTCAGGATAAAAGCTCTGCTCTAAAAAACCCGGTAATGTCTTACTTCCTCAGGGAGAAGTGGTGTCCAGGATGTGGAGCGAGCAGCAGTCGAGATGTTCTGCAAGCCCAACTATCTGCATTGTGTGGTAGATTGTAATTTTAGCGTCCAAGAGGTCTTCTCTAGGCCCAGGGATTCTCCAAGAAGCCCAGTCAGGATGTTAAGAACAGTTTTTAACAGTGGCTGACTGAACACTGCAAGAAAAGCAACAGAGGTGGATTTCCCTTTCATTCAGGGAGTGATTTGCACCAAAACTCTGCCCCTGGGATTTCACCATGTGCTGATGTTCTCAGTCCCAGTGATAGCTGTAGCACTGCTACCTTTAGTCCTTCAGTTTTTGGGCTTTCATACCCTTTGCAAACTGAGGCATCAAGCTTGTCCTCTCCACTCTTCACTGTCACATCCCTCTCTGTGGCACTTCAGGTATGCAAAAAGGACGTGTTTATGTTGTGTGTGCTGTGGATGTGAAAGAATGTCTAAACTTAGCATTCAAACCATGGAAAAACTGCGAAATCAGTAAATACAGAACAGGAACTGAGAACAATTTATGTTCAGCTGTTTCCCTGCTGCAGCTTGGAAAAAGAACCTGAAAGGTTTTAACTTGCCTCCAAGTTAGTGTGGTTTTTGTGATTCTGGGAGAGCTTTGCTGCTGCAATTGTTAGCATAACTTGTTCAAATATTTCAAGTTCCCACCTCCTCTTACTCATGACATGGAAAAACACTTGAAATCTATCTAATCAAATGCTCACCAGCAGACATATCCCACGGGCAGCCGAGATAGGCCTGAAGGAAACCACAATTGTGAACAGCTTTAGCTCAGCTCCTGCCAGCTGGGCTGCAGCCTGGCACATCAGCCCGTGGAAGCCCCACTGGCCACCACGCTGTCCCCCGGGATGCAGGGTCTGGCCAGGCAGCACAGCTCACAGGCAATCCTGGGATTCCTTCGGGAAAACACGCACCGAGGGGCTGCTCTGGTGTGGGAACAAGCTGCCGGGTTCTGCTGGAAACTTAAATGGCAAAGAAAACAAAGAGCAGGGGGTAATGCTCCCCCTGCCCTGCCCTGCCCGTGCAGCACTGCCTCTCTCAGCCAGCCTTTCTTTCTGATTTACAGATTTTCCTGTAAACTGAAACAGGATTTCCAGAGCCCAGGAGCGACACGGGGATGCGGGGGGGATATGGTTTGGGTGTTTAGGTTGGGTGCCTCCGGCAGAGCTGAGGCAGGGCTCAGTGCGGTAGAAGGGAGCGTACAGGAGCTGCAGCACTCGGCGTGCCGGTCACTGCCTCCCTTATAAATCCCGTTCTTTGGGGGATTCCAATGAGCCAGCCCCGGGCGGCGGGGGAAGGGACAATCGCTGCGGTTCTGCAGCGTGAGGCGCGGGGAGAGCTCGGGAGCGGTGTCCGCTCCGCAGGGCCAGCTCCCAAAGCAGCTCTGATCCGTGTTCTCTGACGCGGGGATGCCCCCAGGTTTCGGTGGGAGCCAACACCAATGCCTTGGGTGGCAAACAGAGCCCATCGGGCATCTCCGCGGAGCGCTCTGGCTCAGCCGCGGTTGTTCCTGGCAGAAGGGTGGCCAAACCCCTCTCTTTTGAGGAACAACAGCCCTGACCCTCCTGAGTTTGGACCTTCCCCAAGCCCGACACCCGCGTTATTGTGCCCGGAGCCAGGAGAGGGGGCTGTTAAATTTGGCAATCGTTCCGTTCCCCCGAGAGCCGCCACATGCTGCCCTTCCCTGTTTGCTCCCCACCCCTTCCAATCGGCTGCTTTTTAACTCCTGGCTGCAATGGATTTGCACTTTGATCAGCCAAGATTTAATAGCCCTGATGAAAAGCATCTTTCACCTAATTACAGTCAAGCCCCTAAACTGGAGGGCTCAGACTCGAGGCCGCAGCTGCCGAGCACTTGTGGGGCAGCCCAGTAAAGTCACCCAGATCCTGGGGGTAAAGGATGCCCCAGAGCATTAAATTATTAATGTAATTAATTTAATTTAATCCACATGCAAATGCTACCCAATTTAAAATAAGCCTGAATTTTCAGCAAAATATAAGCACCTTCCAGTCTCTTATCCAAACCTGAACACTCAAGTATTTTTCTCTCCCTCCCTCACTCTGATTTTTCAAACCCTCCTTCTCCCCATCAATGGGTTGCCAAGTGCAGTGGAAGAAATGCAGCAGGAACAAACAAACAGGGATGAAGAAGGTACAAGGAGCATCTTTCACTGCTCAGGTGACTTTCTGCGAGCTGTTCAGACAAGGGCTTGCTCAGACCTGAGCCCCACTGTGCCATCCCATCTTCCAGGAGAAACACACACTAGGACAGGCTGTGGACAACTGTGCTAACAGGGGCTGAAAGCAGAAAATGGGATAACTACGGGGAGATGGAGCAATCTCGGCCCAAACCGCATTCAAAACATAAACCAGCGGTCAGCACACAGATACGGTGTATTTGTAGAGTATTTTAATTTTTTTAGCTGAGAAACACAAAACAAGGTAGAGTTCAAGGCATGCAATCAGGCACTAAACTTCTCTTGCTCGTTTTTTTTTGTGCTCACACCTTCAGTGGAAGTTCCATGAAGAGGAGTAGATCCTATCTTTAATCTCTACATAAAGCAACCGAGCACCCACTTACAGCCTGAGGTTCTATGCAATGTTTACAGTTGTTCCTGGAAAGCAGGATTTGCTTGTAGGGAAACAGTTCTTTTTCTTTCTGGGGATTTTGTTCTAATGCCATGTAGAGCAAATGCCATCTGTTTCCCAAAGTAAGTCTGACCAGTGACAAAAATCAACAGAAGTAAAATAACTTTCTCCACATAGATACATGTTGCAGTTACAGATATCTGCTTGCATGGTTTTAATTTGATTGCTCTTCTACTGAAAAATACAGATAAACCAATTAATAGGAAAAGATCTTTGATTTCTGTACCTTGCAAGTCCACCTCTTGGTGTTCTGAAGAAAAATAAAACAAAACCAGATACCATAAACAAGGCAGCCAGTGGGACAATCCACTTTTTACCTCTGAGGTAAAAGAGCAATTCAAAGATTAAGAATTTTGTGGATTTAGGCACATTAGATTGGAATCATAACAGCTACTGAAATAAACATCACAGGTATTGAAATGCTGCTAAAAAATACATTTCCATTTGAGTAGCCTTTGCCTGGCAGTGTAAAGCACCTTGGTGTCTACTCATGGGGCACTTGCTCTTAACAAGCAAAGACAGTACCTGGTAGGCAGCATATTGCCAAGAAAAAAATGTTGTTTATAAGCAGCTACAAACAAATATTTTCTCCCCTTAATGCCCTACCTTTGTTCATACAGCTGCTGGTTTTATTCTGTATATTTATTTTAAAAACATGATAGTCAAAGACTCTTCTCCCTTACTCATGCATTTTTCAAATCAATATGATTAAAGATGGATCTGCTGTGCATCCATGTGATGAATGTGGTGAGAGTCATTCTGCATTTTCCCCATGAGGGTCCCCATGCTGAAGTTCTCAGTATCACTGAGACTTCTGCAGCAAATGCTGGGAGGAGACAAATCCCAGCTCCTGAACTGGTTAAACTGCTCTCTGCCAAGGAATTCAGTGCTATCAGAAGTTCCACCCTCTGCTGTGGCAGGCATTAAGAGATTGTCATTACAGTGGGTTTGCAGAAGAGGTAATCCTGAGATTACAAAGAGTTGGCAAGTCCAGAACTGGATGGTCCCATTTCCTAGGACCCCTCAGAACAAAAGAAAACAAGAAAAAAGCTTCATGCATGTGTTTAACTCATCCCTGTTCAACAAAACACTGAACTACAGCTTAAACATGAGGTCAAACACCACAGAAAGTGCCTGAAGCAACATGACTTCACCATCAAACCTTTTGAGAGCATGAGAGGAAAAGTAACTCAGTGCATGAGAATGACACCTTGCAACAAGCACATGGAGGCATCGACCCCTCCTTTGATTTTCTGAACACCAGCAGGGCATGTAGCTCTGGGGGAAGAATCAGGACTTCCACTTCTACATCTAACTAGGGAAAAAGCCATGGAAACAACTTTCTCTGTACATCACCTGAAAGGGTGGCTCAGAGTTAAAGAGAAACAACCAGGTCTAGAAAGCGAGTTTGCATCCTCAGTCATGGCAGCCCAGATTTAGTTTAGAACATGGATGGTGACAGTGACATCTCAAACACATCTGGCCTTTCTGACAAAAAAGAAGCATAAAACGTTCAGAAGCCAACTGAGCATTGAGATTAACCAGCACATAAACAAAAGTTCAAGACAAAGCAATGCAGAAAATGAAAAAGTAAATAATGAGAGAACGTGGAACAGCTAAACTACAAACTGAGAGGCTTGTAAATAGAGCGAGTAGTTAATACACTTACCCAGCTTAAACTGCAACTCAGTAACACTGCAGTGAAATAACTAAAAAAAATATTTGAACACATGAAAAACTGTATGGCAAGATGTGCTGTGCAGCTCTGACACATTCCCAGGACAACATGGGAGCTCACTGAGAGTGTCTTCCTTTTCTCTCCCTGACATTTCATCTTTGCACCAGGCAGAAATAAATTCCCCTTCCTCTCCAGCTTGGTGTGAGAATGGCTGAACCCCAGTGCCAACCCCCTGTTCCACTGGGGCTCTCCAAAGCCACAATGAGGAAAAAAAAACCACCCTGAAATCCTTTTCTGGAGCAAACAAATTAAGGCAGGGTGACTTCAGCGGGGAGATTTTAGTAAAACAAAACCAGATTTGGGTTGTTGGTCCTTTGCCAAAGTGCTCTTGCTGCGAAGAGCAGGATTGTCCTGGAGACCTGGGAGAGACCAGACGATGCTTCCCAGTGACACTGATGTCACACTGAACAGGCAGGACGTGCCCCAGCCAAGCTTTGCTGACAGCAGTGTGCCCTAGTGGGTGCTCACTGTCCTGTTTCCCCATGGCAGTCAGAAGCTCTTCAGAGATTCTGTCTATTTTAGGGCTTCTGTTCCCAAGGGAATAAAGATTATTCCACCTTCTGAACAAAGTGATTGTCTAGTGCAAGAAAAAAAAAAAAAAGGGGGGGGTGGAATTTAGGAAATACAGAAATTAAAACCATGAGTAGAGGGGTATTTTGGTTGAACACTGAAGGCAAAGCAAAACAGGTATCACCCTGAAAGAACAAAGTTACACAGGAAGGGGTTGGATTCTACTGAGCTTAAACCTGGAAGATGCTGTCCCTTCGTGATTAGGTTTGCTCTGAATGACTCATCCACAGAGCAATGTGAAATGCACTCCTCAGGAGTTTCTCCCAGCGCCTCAGGATGCAAAGGCCAGTCACAAACAAAAATGGCAAGGCAAAAAATAAAAACAACAACCACCCTGTCTCCCATTTCTCATCATCGTGGTGACAAAAGGGAAGACAAGAACTGAAAGCATTTTACCCTGTGAAATATTGGCAATTCATGCTGTGGAGGAACACCCCAGCCTCTTAGCAAGGAAACACTCTTCCCATGGGTGCTTAGTTAATAGCTATCATGCAAAAAACAATTAGTCATTCAAGCAATTAAGAAGGTAAGTAGCTCCTAAAAAGGTTTGGAGCTTCCCAAGCCCTAAATGCGACTGCTCTAAACCGAGATTGTTCCTGAGTGTGATGTGATGACTGGGCTGCCTCTCCTGAAGGGATCCACTGCATCATGTGTTGTAAATTCTCGACGCTCTTTTAGCTGCAGTCTGAGCCTCTGGGGGATTCTCCTCCTGCTCCTCACTCTTCTTGTGGTTTAGGAATATGTCTGACTTTAGGAAGCGGCTGTAGCTGTCGTACTTCATGAGGTTGAATATCTGGGAAGAGAGGGGAGAAGAACACAAATCCAGTGACCCAAGGCAAAGGGGATTTTGAATGGGAAGGGCAGTATCAATTCCAGTGTATTTTTGTTCTGCCTGTACTAAGGCATCACTGAAAAGGCAAGGCACTGAAAATACACACTTTCCAAATCTCAAAGGGGCTGCAGAGCACTGGATAATTGAGGAAAGCCTCTAAATAATTTACACAAATACTGAAACTTCAAACTGAGTCCAGGCTGGAACAACTGGTCTAACTGAGGTTTCTTAAACTTCTGCCAATATTCCCATCCTTTTTAGACTCCCACCTTCCACAGAGAGCTGCTCTGGTGCAGGTGTAGTTTACCAGATAAAACATGGTTTTAAATTGGTGATGGACTAAAGCAGTGCCATTAATGCTTCACACCAGGCCAAGAGCTGCCCTTCTCGTGGCCAGCACTCAGCCAGCATGGAAGCACAAACTCAGCTCCAAGTGTGGCTTTTCCCTCCCAGGGCTTGAGTTCAGACTCGTCCTTCAACAGCACTTCTGCCTTTCTATTTATATCCACCACAGACAACAAAGCTACAACTCCTTTGGAGTTTTCTGGAAGCAGAAAGGCTTGGGAGAGGAGTCTGGCAACTGCTCAGGTGTCAAGGTCAGGATATATATTTAAGCTGGTCTTGCAACAGAGGGGAAGAAAAAAAGTAAACCTCAGAACTATAACTGGGGCAAAACCAAAGCCAACATCACCCTCAGCCTATTATTTCACTGGAGCCTCTCTGAGTCATGTTTCAGGACTGATTACATTTTACAGTACTCAGAGTAACTCAATTTCCAAGACAAATTTCTGCATTCTGACCTGCATGTGTGGCTAATCCCTGTCTGGGTAACTGCAGCTTTACCTTTACAGTCTCCCTTCTAATTGACAGGTAACACAACTGTTTGCTAGGAGGAAGAAAACAACTTTAAACTGCTTTTTCATTTTGCATCCTCGAGGAACCTGGACAGATAAAGGCAAACACCCAAAACCTGACTGTTCTTGTCCGTGTGTTTGCTGAAATAGCTCCCTTACAAGTAAATTACATGGTGGATTTTACCAACCACTGTTCATTTGCATATTTAAATATTTAAGTTCGTGTTTAGAACTGTGGAAATGCTGTTTTAGAAGCTACATTTTGGAATATGAAAAATCCCAAAGCACCCACTGCACATAGACCCTAATCAATGCAGACCCCAATCAATGCAGACCCCAATCAATGCAGACCCCAATCAATGCAGACCCCAATCAATGCAGACCCCAATCAATGCAGACCCCAATCAATGCAGTTAAGCAAAGCCAAGCCAAATTATACCTCCTGCCATTGGCTAACTACAATGTCATTAAATTTATCCAAGCAGCTCAAGGGAAAAAAAATAGCAAGGAAAACGTTGCCTGTTTAAACATCACGTGAGTGTTAAGAACTTAGACCCCTCTTGTTCCTGGTATCACTTCAAGCATCTCCCAGAGAGAAGGAGCACTGTGAGATCAGTATCTTCCCCAGCCTGGTCAGCCAAGTGTACAGAGCAGACAGATTTTATGATGCTGTGCAAAAGCAGAACCCTCTTCTCCCCCTCCCCTCCTCTCACTGCCTTTGTGCAGCAGCACCATTTGCCCTTAAGCATTTTTAAACACACACATTTCCATGAACCACTCTACCACCACTTCAGTCAGCACCAACAACTGCCCCCAAGCCATTGCAAACCACCCTGTGAGCACAAACCACAGCCCAGCAGCAGCACCAGTTAAACCAGTAGGTCTGGAGAACCAACGTGCTGGTTACCAGCAGTGCTGGAGAACAGACTGGGGCTTTCAAGCTGTGCCTTTTCACCCTTCAGACACGCAGGACCAGCAGCAGTTAACAGAGTTCTTTAGAGAACAAATTACGCCACTCTTCATAGCTTTATAAGGATTGAAAACCAGAGAAGACCATAACTCTTGTGAACTATTATCTAACTGCAATAAACAGTAGCTTCAAGCAGTGGAATCCTGCAGTGACCCACAAATGTTCTGCATTTGTCTGTAAAAGTTCACAGACTTTCTTCCCACACTAGTGGGATTCCTCTACCACTGGAGCAGCATGTTTCCAGTTCAGGTATTACTAATCCTTGGTGGTTATTTGTAAAACTGCAGAATATTTTGTCTCCAGTAGTCTCTCCAGCTTCACCCTCATAATCACCCACCCTGAACTGCAGTGCTTAGATGTACCAGAACATTTCCTTCCCTTTGCCCCCAGTCAGAAGTTTTTCCATGAGAAACTCTTCTTTTTCCTCACATGGAAATTGAATTTCAGACATTCCCACTGCTAATGACTTGGAACCTGCCTGAAAGACAGCAGAGCCTTTGCCCCTCAGACTCCTTCAACTGACCCAGCCAGTCCCAGCTAAAATATTCAGTCCCTGACTGAAATGGGTTGAAAACACTATTTAAGTCCCTGTGCTGTTTCCCCACAAAAGGAACGAGCCAGATGGAAAATGCAGGTAGTCCTGAGGATGGTACAGGAATTAAAAATAGTACTGCAAGTGCTGGAAAGCTGCAGATAAGAATGACTCACTTCATAACTTCAGCTTTAAAATCAGCTAAATATCAGGAAAATTCACCACCCAAAGACATGCCTGCAAAATGTCACCTCATTTCTACCAGACCTCCCAAGTTCTCTGGGAGAAGGCAAAGCAGGTACCAACTCCTCCGAGCTACAGAAGAGGAGGCTTTTCAGAAAATTGTGTTATGCTCCTGTCAATATAAATACCAAAACAAAGCAAAACGAAGAATCTTGAGCTCTCAAGGAAACCAGTGGCAACTATGGAAACAAACATCAGCAGTGACTCAGCACAAGTGAACACGCAGGAAAACCAAGGACCGAGTTACTCAGCGGGGGGAGTCTCAAACCACCCGCACAGGAACCCAGGAGAAAACTTCACCCAGTTCTCCAGGGGTGTCCTGAACTGGGATTAGAGTGGTTGCACAGAATGTCCTGGTTAAGTGGCTTTAGATGGGGCCCAGAGCCCGTGGTACCCCGGGGCAGCTGCATTTCACATCCCATGACAGCCACCCGGCTCTCTGGTCGCTCATGGCACAGCCAGCAGCAGGCACATCCCCAGCTTTCCTACAGTAACCTGTGCTCAGAGAGCAGGGGGCATTAAAACCACACAAAAACTGATGAAACTGGGTTACTGAACAAAAGAACTTTACCTGGTCCTGGAGCTTCTGGAACATGAGGGGGTGAGGTGTCTCTAAGATGGTCTCGCTCAAACGGGACTGCCCTTCCACGTTGACTTGGGAGGAGGCTTTACTGGACAGGAAAGTCGTGTAAATCTCTTTAGCTTTTTCTTGCATCTGCAAAAGGACACATTTATTTAAAGCATTACTCGATGTGTAGATAATCTCTGTATTGCTTGATGTTTTGTTGGAGACAGACCCAGGTCACTTCCTGACGTTCACATCCTAAAATTAAAACATATTCTAAATGAAAAAAAAAAAGTAACCAAACACATAGATCAGCTTACCTGTGTGTGTTCATTTGTGCTGGAAGAAAACCATCTCTGCAGGCAAACATCTGTACTGACAGCAGGGGAAGCTACCAGTAAGTACCACTACCAGTAGTGAGCACTTTGGTTACAGCAAGATGTGATGTTTGAAGCTGAACAACCAGTGTGAAATTGCTCAGCACCATCAACCAGGCCTTGTCCTCACTACTTAGAAGAGCTACTTTTACTAGCAGTTCATCAGTATGTGCAAGGAACCCAGAGGAAAAGCACTGTGGAAGTGACTGCAAGGCAAACCCAGGTAAAGGTAGGATATAACCTGTGCTACTGGTGGATCACCCTGTCATCCTGCAGGCTCTGTCTTTACAACCTCAGAGCAGCTCACCTGCAACACTGACTGCATGAGCAAAGGAAACACCAGCAACTTGACTAAATGGTGAAGACAGAACTCCCAACAGCCTCTGAAAGCTGGTGAATAAGGGTAGGTGGGACTTGCATAAAGCTGATTGCTGGTGCTTGCCCAGATTCCAGAGTTCTTCCCTTGGCAAACCAGCAACAGCAACAACCTCTTGACCCAGCCAGCATCTTTAAAACTTCAAAGCAGTGAGTGAGTGGTCACAATCCTCTGAATGCAAGCTGCTCCTTGACCAGAAGGTTGGATAAGAGAAAGCCAGAGGGGCAGAAAAGAGCCAAGGCAGGCAAGAGCCTGCTACAACCCAAATTCTGCACTCTGATAACAGGAGCTGTGTGACCCCCAGCCCTGGGGGCTCCTCAGTGTTCCCACTGCACCTCTGATGAGCAACCACAGCTCAGCACCAGCTAAAGATGTGTCTGGGATGGGAAGGGGGCTTGGAGAAGGAAGCATTTAAACCCTTGCCCATGAAGGAGCCACAGAATCTCTTTCATGTTTTACAGCCGAGATACATTTACATTTGGGGATAATTAGAAGAAAAGCTGCATGTGTTGGAGAACTGAGGAGGCTGAAAGAGTTAACTCTCTCACTGCTGAAGGGGACACATATTTTCCAGTATTTCTAAAACAGATTACTCATCTGATGGGTAGAACGTTACACGTCAGGTGCATTAGGTCACAATGACACTGCTTTTACCAATTTCCAATCTTTCCAGTTTCACGGATCAGGGAGGACTGGGTCAGCCATATCTGTTCTAATGAACAATTAGTCCTATTGATCAGAGGTGTGACTGCTTTAACTGGCAAAGTTAATGCCCTAATTCAGCCACAGTAAAGCTGCCTGAGCTGATATTGCATGAGCAAGTGATTGCACTGCCTGTCCTACCTAAATGAGTTTGAACCTGCTGTCCAATTTCAACATCTCAGAGAATGGTAAGGGGCTGAGAAAAAAAATCTCCCTCCTACTGAGTCAATGGAAAAGAGGAAACAAAGGGAGAGGAAAAGCAGCACACACAGCCAGGGAAAGGCTGCAGCATGAGCTCCAAAGTCATCTGCCCTGCTCCAGCTGCCAGGGTGCCCTTAGCTGCTGGCTACTCAAGGCAGATGTGGCTCCACAGCAGCCACAGCACAAGGTGCTGCTCGCCCAGGCACTCAGGAGCAGGCTGGGCACCGCAGAGAGAGAGCAGAGAAAGGCTGGAGAAGAAACCCAAAACCAGAAGTAACTGTGAGGAAGTCTGAAGAGCGAGGAGGGGAACAAGAGGACTGCGTGGGAGGCTGGGGAAACAGGGAGGCTCTCTGGATTTTGGGAGGAAGAATAACAGAGAAAGGAAGTGAAAGAGCTGTGGTAGGGAGAGGGGGCTGTTGGAGAGGCACGGGGGACCTGACTTTATAGGGATGGGAAAAGATGGAAATGCACAGCTAAACCCTGCAGGCTCAGTCAGTGGCATCCCTTGTTCTGCAGCAGCCTGAAGCTGATGCCCCAGCACAGGGGACTCTGCTCTGGAACTGAAACAGCACTTCAACTGGGATCTTGTTCACAGGTGGTTGTTGGAGGGTTTTTTTGGCACTCTTCACTCCCATCTGTGTGCTCTCCCCAACAGCCCTGCCAAATTCCCCTTTGGAGCACAAAGTTCTGTCTGCACCAACCCCCCCTCGCTGTTTCAAGTGGATTCAAGATTATTCCCCACTTCCTTTCCTAAGGTCACACTCAGCTCTCAGGCATGTGTGGCTCCCAGATGAGGTGGATGGAAGCCCCAGATGCTGCTCAGAGCAGGCTCCAGCCGTCAGCAGCTGTGCAGCATTACCCAGCCCTGCTAAACCCTCGCTGCATTCCACGTGGGAAGAGACAGCAGGAACTCCTGAATATGTAATTTTGTTCTGAAATCCTTCCCTACAAAACTTCCACGGGGATACTGTGGTGGGTTTTAGCAATAGCTGAAAACATTCCCCGTTGCTGGCAGCATTTATTACAATCTGTAATCTGTTTTAAAGGCTCAGTTGCAAGAGCAGAAACACTGAAACCCCGGGAAGCAGCACGAAGGACATGCTGTTTGTTTCCTTAACAGTCCCAAATGCAACAACATATGACTAACTCCAATGAAATACTTAAAGTTCGATGTTATTCACTGATCCCCACCGCTCCCATCTCAGATAATTAAATCTGTGCCCTAAGATGAGGGCCATATGGGTGGCAGAAGAGCTCACTAAAGGCCATTTAGTTCCCACCCCTGCAGGGACAAGGGACACTTGTCACTTGATGAGGCTGCTCAGAGTTCCACCCAGCAAGCATTTCCAAGGACAGGGCATCAACCACCCCTCTGGGCAACACATCCCAGTGTCTCACCATCCCCACAGCCAAGAATTTCTTCCTTGTATCCAACCTGACCCTGCCCTCTTTCACTTTAAAGCCATTCCCCTCGTCCTGTCCCTCCAGGCCCTTGTCCAAAGTCCCTCTTCAGCTCTCCTGGAGCCCCTTTAGTTACCAGAAGGGTTTCTAAGATCTCCCTGGAGCTTTTTCCAGGCTGAACAAGCCCAGCTCTCGGTGTGATACCACAGCAGAGGTGCTCCAGCCCTGATTTACAGAAGAGTTACTTTCAGAAGACAAATTCATGCTCCGTGCTATCATAAACTCTGGAAATATTTCTATTTTTAGTGCTTTTCCCAGCTTTGTAAATGATCTAAACAAAGGCAGTAGCTATAAAAACTCACTGTAAGTCTGTCTCATTCTAAAGCACATTTATTGCAGCCAGTGTTTAATAGTTTGAGCAGCACTGTGTGATGATTGGTACTGAGTAATTAATCCAAACAGAACCTAGTTCAGTCTCTGCCCATTCATTTGGCAATTCATTCAAGGATTCACTAAGCTCTTATCTCTGTACATCACTTTACCATTTCCTGTACTGGGATGTGCAGGCCTAAAATAGCTAAAAATATGAAAATTATTTAGCAAGGGAAAACACAATTATTATCCCCCTGCAAGGCATGGGATCTTGCAGAGAAGTAGCCTGGCTGGTGGTTCTTTTCTGCAGCCTGTCTGCATTTGTGGGCCTTTAATGAGGGAGGGCAGCAGCTCAATCCACCAGGCTGAGACAGTGCTAAAGGTTACAAAGTGCTCAGTCAAACTGGGCATTTTCCTCTTATTGTAAAACACATTGTTTTGGGGGGGTTCTGCAGATTTATCAATACCAAAAAATATCCACAACTAAACCAAGCAACCCTTTTTGAGGGGAATGCCTTTTCGGTGCAAAACAAAGAATATTCACAGAAAATAAATACTCTCTTACACCTGCCTGTCTTAGCACCCCTAGTCCAGTTCTCCCACCTGATTCCTATTCCCTGGAATTTCTGATGTTGCTCAGAGCACAAACTGTCCCGTTTGGAGCAGGTTGAAGTGGCATTTCCCAGCCTCACCTCCTCACCCCATGTACTTTGGCCAGGAGAGCGTGCATTTGTACCTGTTGCCTTCCAAAATGTTCCTCTCAAAGGCCAAAACAATCTGAAATTTCTCAAGAAAATAACAAAAGTAACAAACAAAAAAACCCCACATTTCTGGTGGATCTAAATGTAAACCAAGGTCTAAGCAGTGGGAAAAAAACTTACTGGAGGTGGCTGCTTCAAAAATTTCTAGTAGAGCATTTACTACTAGAAAGATACAGCTTTCAGGAAAATGAAAATTATCTGCAGGTATAGAATGATTTGGATAATATATTTAAATAATAATAATAAAAAAGTTTAAACAGACTCTCAATTTTATTTGTTTAGTAACTTTGTAATTTGATAAGGCAAAATGCTACAGTTTGGTGCTGGAACATAGTTTTGTTTGTGCTGTGTGTTGTTCTTGTGTTTCACTAAAGAATCACAGTGGTGTTTCTTGCCATGCAGTAACTGCTGTGCTTTAAAAAAGTCCTGAATGAAATGTCTTTATTATATTTGCAAGCAAGATGATGATGCAACACCACTGAATTAATAAACCTTCTGCAATTCCCAAGCAATGACAAAGAGTTCCAAGGTTTCAAAACATGGGAAACTTGACAATTTCAGCATTTGTTTGGATTTGAAGTGGAAGCAGCTTCATTTCCAAACAATTCCACCCCAATTTTAGAGCAGTTTCTTCGAGTACATTTGTTTGCATTTACACAACAGGGATGGTTCAGCTCCAGCTCTGCTGAGTAAACTTTGCTGGCAACCAAAACTCATTCAGGGCACGTACCTGCTTTTTTCCCTGTGTCTTCTTGAATTCTTCACATGCAAGCCAGAACAAAACGTTTTCTTCGCTGAATTCCTTCTTCAAAAATTCCTGGGAAAGAGGAAAACAAACACACAAAGGTTGGAATTCCATTTCTCGGCTGTTTTTCCCTCGTCCTGCTGCAGCCATTAAAACCAGCAGGGTTTTAATAAAGGGAATTCACCTCGGGTTTCCATAGCCCGGTGCAGCAGAACCTCTGCACTGGTGCATCTGAACCTCTGCACTGGTGCATCTGCACACACCAGCACACAGGGGAACACACACCAGGCCCTTGGGAAGCACATCCAGGAGGATGATGGGCTGCCCTGGATCCCTGAGCACACCAGGAACCAACAGGAGTGGATTCTGCAGCCTCCCTTAAATAACTCCAGCACTTTCACAGCCACGGCTCGAAGGGAAGGCCAGAAATATGGGGAGCATAATGAACTGTTTTAGTGAGAGTCACAGATCACCTGAGAGTCTCATTTAGTATCTCCCTGATTTTTCTGATGAGTAAAATCTCTACAAATACAAGTGTTTCTAAACAGGATCAGCGGTGGCAATAAATTCACTTCAGTAAAGGAGAGCAGAGGATGTATCTGCATTCTGCACAGTGTTTAAACACAGCACACTGCTCCAAAAGGGAGGCATGCTTCAAAAGGGGGAAAATGTGCATTAAATTTATTTATGAAACATAATGGTTGAAACATTTTATAGCTCCAAGATCATCAGTTTTCCCTCTCAAGTGTTAGAAAACAGAAATCAAGTAATGCCAAGAATTAAATAGCACCAACATTACTTTTTTTTTTTTTTTTTAAGAATTCAAAATCAGTGGTTTGTAATTCTAATTTACATCGCTCATTAAACCAGTCTGCCAGGTCACCATTTTATCCCAGAGCATTTTATCAGCATGGCATGGCAAAAGCACTTCCAAGTAGGTAGCTCCTATTCTTACACCTACCATGGCAAAAACCCTGGAAAACCAACTCACCACCCTCACCTAATTAAACCTCAAGCCATTTTGAGCTGCACCAGCCCACACTGGGTAGTAAAGTGAAAGGGAATATTTTCAGTACAGCTGCCAAACACACAATAAGAGTCACCAGAGACTGTCAGGGGTAACTCTTTGCTGAATGTGTGAGAATAAAGAGCCCAGGATGAGTCCTCAGTGACAAATAACGCCTGGCAGGAGACAGCAGTGGCTCAAGGACTGCAGTTTGTCCCACAGGGACTTGTCAAGAGCAGATAGATCCGATTAGAATGGAGCAGAAGTCCTGCTCGTGCCTTGCAGGAGGGAGCTGCAGTGGCAGAAGGTGCTGGCCCAGAAGCTCAGCCAGGGGCACAGCTCCAAATCTGCCACCTCTGCTCGGGGCACAGACCTAGAAGGAGCCACCTCTCAGTGCTCACAGCCTGGCACAGCTGCACCCTTTAGTGCTGAGACTGGAGCAGCTTTACATCCTGATTCTGTTCTCCAGAAATACCCATAGTTAATAAAGCAACCCTAAATCTCTTCACTCCTTCGGGGTCCTCCAGGAGGTTCTCCAGCGACGTGGCCCATTTGGAGGTCCCTTTCAAGGCTTGGTGGCTGCTGCTGGGGTGACCCTCGCTGTCATTGATCTCTGGGAAAAAAACAAACAGAATTGAAAGAAATGCCACCTTCTTTAGAAATGACAAGTGGCAGTGTTGTGGGTGTCTTGAATTTCAGCTGCACCCTTGAATTTCAGCTGCTGTCTTTAAAGGAAACACCGTAAAACTGAAGATAAACACACAAACACACACTTGAATTCTGCTCTGCCTGCAAGGAGGCAAAGATTCCTTCCAGCAGATAATTCATGAGCAGGTAAGGAGGCACTGTCACTGTTTTATAGGGGGTCAAGCACCTTTTGCCTGTGGAACACAATGACCACAGTCTGTGTCCTGAAAGGATCATCTGCTTTTTTTCTGACACTGCCTACAGCGTGGGCTCCTGGAAAGCAATCCCTGGTCAGCCACACGTGGGAAATTTATTTTTAAGAAAAGAATCATCACTGGAGGCTGGAGGGTGGGTAAAAGCAAAGAGAGAAAGAAACACAGTGCTTTGTTCAGCAGGAGAAGCAGCCCAAGATGTTAACCCAGAGTAACTGGGAGGACAGACAGCTGGCACAAGAGCCTCCCTGCAGCTGAGTCAGCCTGGTTTGGGGCAGGGGGGTGGTTTTTCTCTTTGTTTGTTGCCAAGTCTGCTGAAATTCTCCTTCTATAAGGTGCACTGGGCTGTGCCCACATCTGCTCTGCCAGCAGCCTTCTCCCAGGTAGGAGAGCTGGCACACAGGTGGTGTTTCCCTGTCCCAGGACAAGTGCATTGCATTCAGGGCTGGTGATGGAAAAAAACTTTTTTTGCCATCTACCCTTTGAAAAATCTCTTGCTTGGAGGGACTCCAGGGGTTTGCTCATCTGCAAAACTCTAAAACAGACATAAAGTGCTTGGCCTTCTCTCTCTCACACACAGAACGCCCTGGGAAGACAGGAGGGCAGGCCATGGGAAGTCAGGACAGGAGCTCCATTTCAGGTCACTGCACACTGGAGAGCTGCACAAAACTCTTCCTGTAACCAATACAGCCTCTGTTTATTTTAATAACTCCCTCATCCCACTCTACCACCTTTCTGGAAGTATGGATCACAGCAACTTCTGCTTAAGCTCTGTTAAAAAGTCCTTCTTCCACCAGGAAACTAAACCTCAGCAAGCATCTCAAAAACTGTCTCTGCAGAGCTGTCCTATCAGATGCCCTTTAGAGCTGGTAACTGGAATAAATGCTCAGGTTAAAGCCCTGCACAACACTGGCACCACTTTGAGCTGTAGGGACCTGGCTGTTCTCCTAAAAGTGAGAAGGAGCACTGTGCTAAATGAATGAGCATCCCTTCTCCCTGGATAGGAGAGGGGTTTTTGCATGAGAAACAGTCTGTGAGCTGCAGGGCAGGAGTCACAGCCAGGGGGTTGTCTCCAAGGCAGTCCTGCAGACCTCAGCTGTGACACGAGCACCGCCAGTCAACGCTGCCTCAGTTTGGCCCCCCCTCACCCTTGCAAAAGGATGTGGTTCTTGATTATCACTTGCAGCATTTATTTTAGGAGCCTGACTCAAAGTATCTGGGCTTCTGATCTCAGTCAAATGGGTGAGATTTAAGTGGGAATGGCCAAGCACATTGGAGCAGAACCTCTAAGCAGCTGGAACCTCGTGTTACAGCCTCGTCACCTGCAAGCAGAAGGGCAGCTCTGTGTGTGCAGCTGCCCATGGCCTGAAGAACCAGGCCCTTCCCTTATTTAATACAGGATTTAGCACAGAACACATGGAAATGAGATTTCATTTCCAGTGTTTCTGTTCCAGCCATATCTTCTAGTGGACATTAATGATTACTTTGAAAAGCGTGTATTTCAATGAGCCAGTGCACCACAGGGCAGAGCCAGGGCCTTGAGAACCTAAAAAAATAAATTCTGGTTAGCAAAGCCAGAACAAGTGCTCCATATACCCAGGATACACTGATCTCCTTCTCCTCAGCTGCTTTCACTGGTCTCTCATTGTACTGCTGCCCACGAATGACTCCAGGAGCTGATCCCCAAGTCCATCTCCCCTAACACATTACTAAATTACCTTAAAAATGATACTTCCACTGAAGTACAAATTAATGAGTCTAAAATGATCTATTTGAAAAGGCAAGACAGCAATAACTGTAGTTACATGAATGATTCTCCTGAAACCCATTCAGCTCTGTTTGATATCTATAAAGAGAACTTTCTCCTGTTAAAATCCTCTATTGACACAGTTAGGTAATATATGCTTGGAAATAACAAGCTTGATCCCAATGTTTAACAACATATATACATTTGTATGATCATGTAGATGAGGAAGGCAGCAGACATTTGCTGACACCGAAAACTGGGAGATAATTTTGTGCATCTAAAATGACAAAATGGCAGTGCTTCCACCAGTATTTCTGTCAAAGTAACACACAGGATGTACAACAGATGATAAATACACTACCTACATTTCTTACATTGCAATTGCCAGAAATTACAATATGCTAATCACATTTCACAGCAGAGCTGGCTTTTATTGGGGTCAGGAACCAAGAGGCAGGGAAAGCCAGCAAAGCACACGCAGCAGGGCACAGCTGTAAGAGTTTCTGCTGAAACAAACCCTCCACTGAGTCGAAAATGTGCCTCAGAGACACAACTGCTCTCATGATGTGCAGGGAGCAGCCAGCTGCTTCCACCAGCACAGCAAATGATGGAGTGCTCATTTTAACATCACCAAACTTCAGAGGGCTCCATACTGAGCCAACAAACAGGCAGTTACATTAGCTGCAGCATTATTTCACAGGAGGCTCTTATAGGAGCTGCCTTCCCATCACACAATAGCCCTGCAGCCCCAGACTGCGGATAAAGGCTCTTTGTGTGAGCAGGGTAAGTGCAGCACTAATAATGCTGTAATTATCAGCTGAAGAGTGCTATCAAAAATGGCAAATGTTTGCATTCTCCAATCAGGAACTCGGACTGAAACCACAGAAAGTGTCAGTAACATCGACATGTACAACGCTGCAGGTGTAAACTCCCAGTTCTGGGCCTTGTTTTTGACCGAAAAAAAAAAAAAAAAAACCTGTGGAAAACCCATCAAACCGTGAGTGATTCATTCACGGCTAATTGAGTTAGACATGCTGATCCCTCTGCCTTCCAGAGGCACTGCAACGGTCCCCGAGCTGCTGCCACTCTCCAGCTGTTGATACCGTGGCCCATATCAGGCAGCACAGACTCACACCCTTCACAGAACCCCACGGGGCACATCCCTTCCTAAATGCCCGCTGCACAAACCCCGTGCAAACTCCCCGACAAATAAATGGCACACGAGCAGTCCAAATGACAAAAGCCCCACGAAAACAGCACCCTCCTCATTCTGTATTCAAGCATTAATATAAAACAAGAAAAGCCACCTCAGTTTCTTCTGGAAGAACTTCCGACCACGCCTGCCCTTATTCACCTGGATCACAAAATCTGCAAGCCATGAACCTTTATTATTATTTCAGAAGTACTCTGAATACCTTGCCTTTTCCTACGCTCACCAGAATGCCTGTCCAGCAACAACCACCGGTCCAGAATTAATAAATCCAAGGCACGAAACAGCGGGAAACTTCACAAGTAAGCGGCTGAAAGGGGGAAATTCCCTTACTTTCCATGCAGCCAAGCATCACCAGATGAATCCTCGCACAACAATTTTTTCCAAGCAGCAGCTGAGGTTTAGACCTTTTCCTCACAGCACAGCTGCCCTTCGCACGCTTTGGTTGTTCAGAGCAGGAGCCTCAACATCCTCTTTTGAGTGTCTCCAGCAACAGATGGCTCCTGGACTCCACTTTTAACTACAAGGAAGGAAGCTAAAGGGACGTTCCGCTTTTGTAGCATCTCTGGAAGCGTTCACCAGACAGATATCCTTAAAAAAAAAACAACCAAAGAAACCCAAAAAAACACCCCAACCCAAATCAAGTCTAGACAAACACCGCATCTGGCTTTTCTTAGAAAGATTGCAACTTCTTCCTGCACATAATAAACTGTAGCATCATTTTCTAAGATTCGGAGATTGCTACTTTTGCCCCAGTTGTTTCAGCACTGACAGATATCAGATCCCACCGCCTCGGAATCGCCAGACTGACTGACAGCATCGCGGACACGGCAACAAACACGCCACAGCGCCCGTCTGCACAGGGAACTGGGAAGTCCCACATTGTCACTCCTTGGTAACTTCCATTCCAGCTTAAGACGCTCCCTCCAAAGGCAAACTCCTCCAAGTCGATTCACAGCCCGACTAACCATGCCCTGGTGCCCCGGGCTGTCGCGTCGCCCCCGGTAAGAGCAGCCCGCAGGAGCTGGGCAGCGGAACGCGGCTGACGAGGCAGAACCCCGGCAGAGCCCCGCTCCCGTTCCCCGTTCGGCGCCGCTCCGCTCCCGGCACGGTCCCCCCGCGCATCCCGGGCAGCGGCACCGCAGCTCCCCGCACCGAGGGGCCGAGGGACAGCCCCGGCCCCGCCCGCAGCTCCCGGGGCCGGCGGGGCAGCGGCGCGGCCCGGGGAGCCCCCGAGAGCGCCTCGCTCCCCTCGGCGGAGCTGGAGCCCCGCAACCCTCCCGGCCCGGGGGTCCCGCCGCCCCGGCCCCGTTACCTGAGGGCGGCCGCTTCCTGCTGAGCCGGCTCACGGCCCGGTTGAACATCCCGGGCGCCGCTCGGGCCGCGCTGCCCGAGCCCCGGGGCGGCCGCGCCTCCCCCGCCCCGCCCGGCCCGGCCCGCCCCGCTCCGCTCCCCCCGCACGGGGCGGCCCCGCACCTGCCCCGCCTGGGAGCGGCGGCTCCCGCGGCACCCGGGGCTCGGGCACCACCGAACGCGACGTGGCGGCACCGGGGGTTCACCCCTGGCCGGGGCAGAGCGGCACCTCCTCCTTCCCCTTCGCCCCGCTGTCCCAGCCATCCCCACTTGCACCCCTCTGGCACACCACGCTGCGATGTCAGCTCGCCCAGATCCATCTCATCCCTCCTGCTCCTCCGCGTACCCCTTGGGCAGCTATGCCCGCCAGCCTCGAGCCACCAGCACCCCTCGTGTCCTCGCCGAGCAGGTGCGAGAAACAAAAACCTCCCCAACCGCGGTCACCTCGGTGAAATCGTGCTCTTTCCTACCAAAATAGACGTGCCAAGCCTTTTGTGCTGGGGTGACTCATTTGCTCTTCCAAGGCTTGGAAGAAAAATTCTTTCCTAACAGAAAAGCACATTTACAATTTTAAACAAAGGTATTTTCACTTTCAGAAATAATCTTTTGTACCAAAATATTTGATGAAAAATCCAGCATGTGAGAAGTTTGTGCAATTCTGACAACGAAGTGGCAAGCCATCAAACAGGCAATCAACTCAGGAAGCACAAAACAACAGTAGTAGGAGGCAATGGGAGTGTTTAAGTCCCACTGGAAGCATCACCGATACACAAAAAGCCACAGAAACCACTGTAAGCAGACAAGTCAACACTTGTTCTATTTCCACCTAAGCCAAATCCCATCCTGAACAAACAGAGCTAACTAGCTCCATTCGCAGAGGGAACTTGGATGGGCTCCCATCCCACTGAAATGTATGGATATTTTCCACTTACACGCACAGGGCCAAGATCTCATTCCTGGGAAATGGTGACACCAGGAGACTCAGCAGAAGAATCAACTGCATCTGTGCTTCCAAAACAAACAGCAGCACAATACCTTCCAGCTGAAGGGATTTGGCCTGAGCATCCCTGGACTTCTGCCTTCAGCACCAGGGCCAAAAGCTGCGTTAGCTGGTAAAGACTTCTTGGCTTTTGGCGTGGACTAAAAAAAAAAAAAATTTAAAATTTAAAAAAAAAGTCTGCTGCTTTGCCGAGGGAACAGCACAACAGCTGCACACGGCATTTCCCAGCAGATGTGTGAGGCAGGCACAACGTTGGAATACAGCTGCAAATTCCGTGCAAGCACTGGAGGAGCAGGGGGTAACAGCACGGCAGCAGCAGGGCCAGCGGAGGCACAGGGACAGCAACACGGGAAAGGAACCCACAGGGTGGCAGTTCTGGGAGAAGACAGCTTGGCCATGAACTCCCAACCTTTTAGTCAGATCCACCAGTGCCAGGTATTTCGGGCAGCCCATTCACACCGAAGCAGTACAGACACCACCAGATTTCATTTATTTATTTTTTGTTAAGAATCGGGTCACAGATCCAAGTTTCTATTGTCAGGGTTAAGAACTAGTGCTCCTAGGACAAGCCCCTCCTCTTCAAGCCAGTGTATTGACAACAGGCAACTGGAGCAGTTTTAAAACTTAACATGATGGGAGTTGGAGGTGGGAGTACTTAAGGAATATGACTTAAGGAGGCCAGCATTGTGCCCGTGCTCCACGTGCCTGTGCTGGTGTCTCCAAGAAGCCCACGGAGCCCATCTCTGTCCACGCATCTCCTGGGAAACCTGACCCACAGGTTTGCCACAAATCAACCTGCTAACAAATTAAGTTTCTGTTCCTTTCCTCCTCCAGATACAAAACTTCGTTTCCAAGACTCCTTTCCACCCCTTTTCCTTGTAAATGAGCACTTTGGGGCAGTTCCTGCAGAGGGTACTGCCAGGTGGGCACAGCAGTGCCTGCTCTGCCAGGTCACGTTCCTGGTGCTGTTCCGTGCTCTGCTCTCACTGGTCAAGGCTCGGTGCTCCATCAGACACAACGGCACGAGGGAATTTTCCTTCCAGATGAACTTGGTGGAGTTACTCAAATGCAGTTCCTTTGCTGGGGATTTTTGCCCCTTCTTCCCCAAATCACCTGCAATACCCACATATAACCACGTGCAATTTATGCCTTAATTCATCCTGTGCCAGTGTCCACATGCCACATTGACAGGTTTTTCCACCTTGCATGAATTTTTACCATCTTTTCCTTAATTTCACAGGGCAAAGCTTCCCTTAATAAAAAAAAAAAGAAACAAACCATAAATGTGTTTCATTACCTTTGGCTGCAGCCAGGCCAGGCCATCTAGAACAGATGATGTTCTCTGAGTACTTACCGAGTCACTGCACTTCCACCTAAAGAACTGTGCCCCATTAAAAATTAAATGTATGTTAAAATAGCCAAGCTCCCTTAGAACTGAACAGGAAAGCTTTTGCAAGCCTTCCATGCCTTGCTCCATCCCATAACTCCAGGACATGTCAGCACAGTGTGGCACAAGCTCTGGACTGTTCACCACTCCAAATACTGGAAGGTTTAACAGCTGGGATAAAGTTGAGCAGATTTCCCAGTGCCACTGGCAGGAACAGGTGTGTGGGGAGGAATGAGAATGTGCAAGACACCCAAAAAGGCAGAAACACGCCTGACAATGTGATTTCAGACAAAGATTCTATTTTAAAATTTGACTTGTATTCTGAAGAATAATTTAGCTTAAATTTAAATAGCTGGATTTGAAAAGAAATGGAAGGAGTTGTACTTAGCTTTGCCACTGCAAAAAGAAAAAAAATCTATTCTGGAACATACTGAACTATGAATAACACCACAGAAAATTCATAAAATGCACAGCTCATTTCAATGCCCAACTGCAAATAAAAGACTCCAAACTAATCAACAGACTTAGGAAAAAAACCATAACTCATGGTTTAAAGCTCTGGTTTCATTCACACCAACATAATGCAACTGATTTCAGCAGAGGTGGCACTTATTTACACGATTATGGGAACTTGAAATTGGAAATGTTAGCAGTGAGGAGAGGCCTCCAAAGCAGGAAAACTCTCATTTCTCTGGAGAGAAAAACAAACAAACAAACAAAACCACAACAACAAAAACCAAAACCAAACAAATCCAAAACAAAAACCAAACGAACCAAACAAACAAAAAAAACCCAAAACAAAACCCCAGCCCTTCAAAACCTGATTTTAGACTTGTCAAGTTTATTTTCCTATTCCACTGCACGTGTTAACAGAAACAGTAGAAATTAAGACTGGATGCTGCCCTGCAAAGGGCATTCTGGCCAGAGAATGAGGCATTTTGATCCCAGACCTGTAGGCACTCAGATTCCTGCCTTTGACCCGAAATATTTCAGCACACCCAGGTTCTGCCAGTGTAACCACAGGGCCGTGCTGCCAGAACTCACTGGGGTGGTGAAAGCTCCTCGTGCTGGAGAAAGCAATGTGACTTTATGTTGTTAAGATTTGGGGTAGTTCTTTCAGTTCAAAGCCACTTTTTAGTTTTATTAACCTTAAACAAGCCATCTTTAGTTTCAAACCAAGTTTTGCAAGCCTTAGCTAAATGCAGTTCCTGGCTGAAGATTCACAGATACCAGAGTAAAAGAGCAGATAATACAACAAGCTTTTAAATCTTTTTAACAAGATACACACAGAGCAAACTTAAACACAACCTTCCTGGAAGGTGCACAGCATAAAACAGCCTTGAAGAGAATTCTGGTAGAAAATTGCACTTCTATTTCAGGCCTGCCCAAATAAATCAGAGGAATTTGTCCAGCACTCCTCACTTTGAACTCAGAGAAAGCTCTGACTCACTCCTTTGTAATACTTTCTAGTACAAGGAGGTTCACAGGGTCAACTTTTATCCCTAATCTTGTGGAACATTCCTCAGTACCTCCAACTCCAGGGCTTTATGCACGCCAGATACAGATTGCAGAACTCTGGCAGCGACATCTGAACATACAGACTGAATTACAGGCTGAATAACTGCAGTGCTGCTCCCACCTTACACTGGTTACACCCATCTGTACCTCTCCACAAACTGCACTCAGAAAATAAAAAAGTGTTCCAAAGCTTGCAATTTAAGTGATTTTTCTTTATCAAAACCAGTTTTGTGCTCTTTGCATCTGCCACTGAAGGAGGAAAAATGTTTCATCAGTTTAGTGTGACATGTATATTTGAGCCTGATAAAAACCTTACTGCTAAATCAGCCTTCTGGAGTTTCTTCAACTTTGTTCTATAAAGAAGAAAGAATTATGGTGAAGGAATTTTATTATCCTTTTATATTGCAAATGTACTTTTTTTTTACCCACAAGATTTAAAACCAGCTTTCAGAAGATAAAGCCGTACCATGAATTAAATCTTGAGATGCAGAAATGCAGTTTTCGAGTGCCAATTTTACAGCAATAAAAAGCTTGGTAATATTCAACTAGACATGAATTATGAAATTGTTATCAAAACCTTAAAAGCACTCTAAGCCCCTCTGGACTACACATAGGTAGGACTGACTAGGGGGCACAGTGAAAAAAACCCAGCTTTTGGGAATTATGTTCAGTCTGGGATGAACCTGAAGATACAAAAAACCCCAAAACGTACTTAACACATGCTTTTAACACCCACCTGTAAATATTAAACCAAGTAGAGACAGCAGAAATCAAAGACTTTTGCAGTACAGGGGAATATTAAAAATTCTATGTGAGGTCAGGGTGTTTCTGCTAAGAACCAGAGGCAAATGTAACAGTCTGTGCATGAAAAGCAAGCACAACTCTGCTGACTACAAACACACATAATTAAAGTGAGAAACACAGCAAAACACACAGGGTATGGGAAAGGAGAGGTACATGGTCATAACAATCCCAATGCAAGTATCCACGTGCATTTTCTACAGTGAAACTCATTCCACAGTGAAATCATTATTTCTAAGCCTCTGTAAAATAAGCTTTGGACACACTTGGATACTTCTGAGGAGACAGCATCGTGCCTTCCTCGTGCTTTCAGGTGAGAGTAAAACTCAGTTAGAAACGGCTCCATAAACACACACTGCAAAATTAAATAGTCCTTTTAATAACTAAGAGGGTGATTTTCCCCCCCAGTCAGTACCTGAGCTGGAAGATCTGAACTAAGCAGTAAATTGTATCAATTGGTCTTTCCCATCACGCTGGACAACCCGGCATTAAGGGAAACAAATCATTAATGGAGTGAGAAAGATCTGCCTCACTGAAAGGGCCAAAAAACCCACAAAGAGTATTTTTTCATGGAACAGCAGCCCAGTAATAATTCCCCATTTATTAAAGTCAAAGAACTAGCAAATCCTCAAATGAGGATGGCAGCTTTTCATCATCCCCTGTAACATTTATTCTTCTTCAGAGTTGGCTCTAGGAAGTCATTTTCCATCCAGGAAATGTGAGCATCATCCAGTTTCATGTGGTAGACCCAGGATTCTTCTCCAATTCCTTCCCACCCCTGTTCCAGAAGTTGTAAGGAACGGGAAGATGTTCAACAAGCAGCTGTGCATACCTGAAACTACTTCAATTATCCGAGCAGAAGGGTCAATACAGACACAGCAGAATGCCAAGCTAAGAGGTCTACATTAACTAAGGGTCTATAAATTCAAGTGCTTCACTCAATTTGCTCCTTAAAGTTTCTTTGTTTAGTCACCTCTGGAGTTGTAGCTGGGCTGTTTTAATGTGCATCTGTTTTCTCAGAGAATGGCCAGAGGGGGTGTGGTTTCTACTTGTGTCATTTTAAAGCCACCTTATTTGAAGCAGGCAGATAAAGCAGGTTTGTGTGTGAATGGCCACAGCACTTTGGGTACTGCTGTGGTATCTGTGTAAGCCATCTGACCTGGCCCTGGTGCTGCACCACACACGGGGCTGGCACAGGTCCCACCTGCCCTCAGCAGCCTCCCCTCTCCTCCTGTCCTTCCAGCAGCTGGGAGAGCTGCTGAGTGTCTGGGATCAGTGGGAAGCTGGGCTCACACAAGGAATGGGGACTGAGCCCTTGTTTTAGGAGGCAAATATTCAAATGCTATCAGCCATCATCCCAGGAAAGTCGGCTTACATGGAATTCCCCAACACCACCCCACTGTTTGGCTTCTGAACAAAACAATCCTGGCTGTGCAACCGTGCTGCCTCATTGACAGCCCCAACACTGACAGAGAAGGCAAAGCCATCTTTCTTCCCACTGCATTTCAGGAACACTTTGATACCCAGCAAGATTCAGATTAGCTTTAATCAAAGCAGGAGGAGCTGTGTATTTAAGCAAGAGGAGCTTGTATTCAAATAATCATTACTGATGTCAAATAAAGCTGTGAGTCATTACCCTTTAAATGTCAGTGAGCAGAGCATGTCAGTCACATCCATGGTCTAGCTGAGCACACAGCCTCAGAAGGATGACAGAACCAGTGTTCGCTCATCAACATAAAGTCCTGTTTCTTTTTCAAGTAAAATATCCAGCAAACACCTCAGCGTTTTCCGTGAGTTGAAGTTACAGTAAAGGGAGAGGGAGGGACATTATCCAGGTGATACTGAAAAGAACAACAATTTTTAAATTTTTTTTTAAACCATCAGCTGGATTCACAAAAATTGCTGAAATGAAACACAACTAGACCTTCCCAGCAGCTACTGCCTTGCAGTTGCCTTTTTATGAACAGAAACTTCATTACACAGTGAAATCCTTAAATCAGTGTTGGACAGGCACCACATATGATCAGAACAAATGAATTCTCACTCCTTTTCAAAAGAACAACTTCTTTTTGCTATCACAGCAGCAATCCAGACCCCAGACTGCATCTGTATATAGAGATTCATGCTGGAACAAGGCAGTCCTTCACAAACCCCATCCATTTTTTGGAAGGATACCGAACAAAAGATTGCCTGTATCTTGCAAAGTAAGAACAGTGCAACAAAATCTTTTATTGCTGACCAGGAAACAGTTTCACGTGATTAAAACAAACACTTGTGCCCTTGTTCAAAAACAGTCAGATAATTCAGAAGTATCAGACACTAATCATGTCCATACAGTTGAAGTCTGCTTCCTTGTGTACAAACACAAGAAAAACAAATCACTATTTTTTCGGCAAAACTAAGCCTTTAAATTCACTGTGAGACTTATTCTGAGTGAAATGAAGGCAATGGTTCTGGGACAGTGAACGGCTTCCCATGAAGTTATCTTAGCAAGGAAGGAGGTTCTGCAGGGAGAGTAAGCCTGGACACTGTTAGAAAACATACACAAGGAGGCAGGACTGATGAGCAGCTACATGTGACCTCAGATCCACAGCCTCACCACCGCAACTCTGCAAAATACAAAACCATTCGGTACGAAAAGTTTCAAATAAAACATCTTTTACACGGTTGCAAGTGCATAGTTTACAAGTTCAGCCTTGTCTGCCTGTTGTCAGTTTTACAGCAGAGAGGGACAATGCTTTGACAGATGACAATACAGGGTAAGCCCTTTATATCACGTTTCACTTTTATTGAACATCTTCTGCCAACGCAGATTACAACCCTGGTTCAGGTTGCACGCATCAACTTAAGCCATCAGAAATCAATACTTTGTGAAATCCAAATGCTAGTGGTGAGGGTTAGGTAGTGGTTGATTTCTGCAGTTAGAGAAGTTACAACAGTGGAAGTGTCACTCATAAAAGCAGTACGGTGCAAGAGGCTCTTTGGTGCCAAAAACTCGTCAGTGATGCATTTATGAATGCTACTGAGTAGAAAGCAATCTAATTTACAACTCTTCCTCGCAGTGCTAGAGAAACATTAAAGGACTCTGGAGACTGCCCTACCTTGAACATCTGCGAAGAAATATCACCATTACAGAAAAGCTGTATAAAAATCAATGACAAAAGACTGAAATCAGAAGGTATATCCTATCTTTCATCCTGAAATACAGGTCAGGTACGGCCCAGCTCTACAGCAGGCATATTAAATAATCAGATTTAAAGTGATCTACACATTGAGACCTGAAAGATCACTGCCTTAATCTCACACCCAGTTACATGGGCATTTCTGTGGCAATGTACTTGCATCATCTAAGTCTTCAGTAAGAACACACTGCTCATATCCCAGCATGCATCCAGAGCACAGCCGATGCCAAACACCTACAGTTATGGAGAAACCCCAGAGTTCACGTGAAGTCTAAGAAAGCCTAAAGTAACTCGCAGTTCATAGCTCTGCTGGCTCGTGATCCTGTACCAAAAACACAGACTCGCTGGGGGTTTTTATCCAAACCACGAGGGACAGGCCGATCCTCGCACAGATATTCACATATGTACAAAAGGGATAGAAAAACAAGAGGCCCTGTCTGGAGTGACCAACGCCAGGTACAGCAGAGAGGACAAACAAAGGGCCAGCTCTGGCCCCACGGCACTACCTGCATCATTATTGCATCAGGTGCCAGAGGCACGGGGCCCTCTGGGCACGGCTGAGCCCGCTGACTGAACTGCCCTTCAACACATCTCGCTTTCCACGCCCCCTGAAAGTCAAGAACTGCTTCCCGTGGCAAGAGGAGAGGAGGAAAAGCCCCCTGGCGTGACCTGCTACAGCAATCAGTGTAGTTACCTGCACAGCCTGGCTGGGTTTGACATCACCGCAAGTCTCCATTTCAAAACAGACTATTCTAACTCACAACAGAAAAGGTGAAATGTACAGCTCCTCAGACACTCACCTAGGACTATCATCTCTAAATTAATCCAACTTTGTTTCTTTTCAAATGCAAGTTTGCTGCACTGAACTGTCACTGCAAATCCTACTCCTCCTGTTCCCAGGGTGCTGCCTCGGCGTGTCGCAGAGCACAGCTGAGGCATTTGCACCCTCTAGCTGTCATGGGCAGGACACAGTACTGGTTTCTAACTTACATTCATTTTCAACTTCAAATTTATTGAGGCAGTTTGTATCAATGTATCCATAAAATAATTCAGAAATAACCCAAGTATACCATTTAAACATCTTCATGATTTATCCATTTACACACCCAGTACACAAACAACCCAGCCTCTGTACAGGTTCATCACATGCAAACCACCCATAAAGACAAAAACTTTAATTAAAAATAAGTCACAACTCAGTGTACTGTTTCAACTGCATCTCCGTTTACCAAATGGCACATTGAATATTCTCTAAAATAAGATGTTTTCAACAATCTTGTTAAAAAATTCTTGGGCAAAATATTTCTAGACTTAAAAAACATCAAGATTTTCCAAAACACTCAAGATACTATACAACTTATAATAACCTTGAAAGAGGTTTACAAGGTTGTTAACCAAGGTATTTACATACCAAATAACGTAAAGCAAAAAATTTGTATTTCTAATGACAAAAAGGTGATGCATTAAAGATTTATGAAATTAAAATTAAGGCTCTTTGTTATAGTTCTTTATGTAACTTTACATATTAGCCAACTTTGGAAATGTCAGTCTTGCACATTCTTGTCAATCTACTGCATTTAAAGCAGTAGAGTATATTAAGTATTACTTTGAATAATTACATTGCTACTTCTAGGTTTGAGCATGCTTTTGAAACACTGCAATTATGAAATATTTACAAGGTGTAGCCTTCAAACTTTATGTAAAAGCCCAAGTATGACTGTCTGATTTGAATACAAACAAACATACTTGTAAAAACGTTTTCTACTCCTCAAAATTAAAAGTAAATTACTACAGTTTTACCAAGCAAACCAGCTCTGAAAAGTTTCCTCGGGTGCCTGAACGTGGACAGTAAAAGTGATGCGAAATTTCTCAGGCAGTACTGTTGCCATTTCAAACTGTTCTCTTTTAAGCATGTAGAAAAAATTAAATATTTTTTTTTAAAAATTATTCCAAGACCTACATACACTTTGAGCTATGCCCAGAGGTTTCTTGAGAACTATTCAATACTGTCTCTCCCAGGTTGTGGTGATTGGTCCACAGCTTATTTCAGGGGGTGTGTTCAGCTAAAAGCAACTTGCTGTTTTCCAACGTCATCTCTCTTAAAAGCACAATGATATAAAACACTGAAGACAAAACAAACAAACAAAAAAATGGAATGGTAACCTAAGGATCAAATTCATTAGCCATTTCTCCTACTATATCAAAATTTGTAGTCAGAAGTGTCTTTATTGACTTTATTTTTAATTTTTGTACACAAAGAAAAACATGTTCATATCCATCATGAACAAAAACTTAAAAAGGCAGAACTAGAAGACATTTGTGTCCTTCACCAAAGCAAAGCTGTGCTAAAGGTTCCAAACATTTCCATTTTTAAAATAAATATTTTCTTTTTTTTCATTGTCTACATTCCAGTCTTCAGAATGTCACTGGAAACTGCAGCCTATCATGAAATACACACTTTGAAACAGAGTCCCAGCTCACTGTGTTTGGTAACTTGCCATACCATATCCAGCTTGGTTAGGTATTACAGGAGCACCTTGTCCCTGGGCAGGCTGAGCACCAAATCCACCCATCCAGGCAGCAGATGGAGATTGGCTTAAAAAGAAACAGGATGGTTAAAAAAGGGGGAAAAATGATATACTAGACAACATGCCAAAAAAAACCCCCCAAAACTTAAAAACATGTTTCCCACACACTCTTTGTACCAAAAGAGAAGACTTTCTTCTTCTCTTCAATGAGTAATTCAGGTTAAGCACTTGAAAATATCGTGAACATTTTAAGAACAAAGGATGAAAGCCCCACAAACCTTGGGCACTGGCTGCACAGGGCGCCCACCTCCAAAGCCATGTACACACACAAGTGTCTGGAAGCCAACATCAGTGATCAAGAAATGCAAAAAATACCCAGTGCCTCATTGGCATGAACACCAGTGACAGGTTTATCAGGGCTTAGGATGTTTAATTGTCACCAGGTAATGAAGAACTGAGTAAACAAGTTATTTTAAAAGTATGTTAAAACAGAAGTTCTTAAAAGATCAGGGATTAAAAGCCCACTCAAATTCCAAAACTGCACAAGTCCAAGTGTCTGTATGCAGCCTCTTCTCTCCCTTCAGGTAAGTACCCAGGGTCCCTGGCTCACCCTCTGCAGCACTCCCCACTCCAGCCAGAATCCACATCGTGTTTAGGTATCAGACAGGACCACCCCAATCTCCACCCCAGGAGGTGGTGGCTGTGCCTTCCCCCAGGCCCATGAAATGTGCCATCAGGTACCAGTCAGAGCCACTCACCCGCGTGTCTGTCCACGGAAGTCACCACACATAAGCCTGAAGCCCACGTAAGGTTTGACACCCCGTGCAACCCTTGGGCTGAGTGAGCCCCACACTCACCTAGTGCATTCCTGGACTACTGCAGAGAGTGAAATAAAAGCACTTACTCTACTCCGAAGCCCTGCTGGTTCCAGGCCTGGCCGTACATGCCGTAGGACGGCACCTGCCAGCCGTTGGCCATGTACTGCCCGTACTGCTGGGGGTTGCCGTACACCTGGCTCCACTGCCCCCACTGGCTGTAATCCACCTGCGGAGACAACCACCACCCACCTCAGCCTGGCACAGCCTTGGGCTGCCCGGGTGCTGCTGAGGGCAAAGCTCTGCCTGTATCAATCACAGGGCTAAAACGGGCAACAGTGAGATCAGGACAATCAGACATCGCTCCGACTTCATTAGATGCTTGTACTGAACAGTGATTTGTGTGTGCTGGAAACACCAGAGACTGTTTGCATGGACAGCCCCCTGGACTGCAGTTAGAGAAACAGCAAGAATCAGAATTACCTCAAAGTTTCTCCCTATCTTGAATCATATCCAGAAGACAGTAACAGATATTCCATCAAAATCACTAGCCCAATTTGATGAACAACTGGAACATAACTGAGACAGAACATGGAATTTCATAAGAACTCCATAAAATGCACCCATTACAACTCGGAAGGCATTACAGTATATACATGATTGCTTTTGTAACACAAAGAAAAGGTTAAACTGAAGTTACCTGTTGGAAGTTTTTAGTCATATCAGGGGATTCTTTACCCCAGTAACATTTAACAACATGTCCTTCAATTGTGGTTCCATTAACTGAAACAATAGCATGTGCTGCACTTTCATGGGTTGAAAATCTAAAGAATGGAAAAACAAAATAATGTTATGCTTTCCAGTACTTGCACCTTACTGCGAAAACACAGTGACCACATACATACAGGAGATCCAGAGAAAAGCATCTGCTGTCACAAGCATTCACCTTCTCAGGTAACAAGATTGGTGGCCACTTTTAAAATTTTTAAGTTATTCTATAAACACATGGTGACAGTTTTTAATGTGCAGGAGAAACTCGAAATCAAGTGAAAGTACAGAAGATGAAGCATTACTACAGGTCTGACTTTTCTCTGTCCATACCTGACAAATGAGTAACCTTTTTCTGGAAACACCCTTATTTCCATAATCTGTCCAAATGGGGAAAAAGTCTGTCTCATAAGTTGATCTACAACATAAAATGTTTTTGAATTAGTAACTGTCTCGGTGTCCAAAAAGCTTCAAGAATAAAACAGCAATAAAACCATTCATACCTGTCAGCCCAGAGGCAATTCCTCCACAGTACACAGTACAATTTTTTGGACTTGACTGATTTACTACGTCTTCAAATCTCAACTGTTTTGTGTTATCTGTAAAGAGAAAAGGCTGGTTTTCAGCAGTGGGACCACAGTGACCCAAGAGTCCCAAACACTCACCTTGTCCATCAGTAAGAATTTCACATTTAACAGAAACATTCAATATTTTATGACAGACCTGTAGTGCCACCACTATGCTGACTTTATACACCAAAAAATCTACTCTTAAAGATCTGGAAGGCAAGCTAGATATGTAATTTAAGTGACACGAGTTTGGCCTCTGTTTTGTCCCCCCCTGAGCAGTGACATGAAGCAAACACAGCACAGCACCACAGGAGGCTCTTACTTTCTTGTGTACTTTTGGGGGCTGGTGGTTTCCGCGTGGCCCAGTTGGTTCTGATCTGGCGGCCTCCCAACCACTGGCCTCCCATGTGGACAATTGCGTTTTCTGCATCCTGGGGACACCAAAACACAGCTGACAACACTGCCAAACAACAAGCTACTGCTAAGAAAGAATCTTACCATGCACTCAACATAACAGGTAGAAAAATTTTAAGTTCTAGGAGGGCTGAATGGCAGTTACAAAGCAGTTGTAATGCTGACATACAAATGACTGAGATTAACTTTGGTTTTATTTATTATTTGCACACACTCTGTCTCTGCTCTCTGGAGAGTAATTAAATTATTTTGACCATGAACTAGAAAACTATCCGTTCACTCTGGAAGCTAGAAACAGTGAGTAAGCAAGGGATAAGTCTGCTAACACCTGCATGAAGCCATTTTTTCCCCAACTGCTTTGAAAGAAGAGAGGCAGAGCAAACAGTAAATGTTTGGAAGATAAAACCAAATCACCAGACAATAAAACCCCCTATTTATTCAATCACCTTGATCTCCCAAAACATAGTGAATAAGTTACAAGCTGAGTAGGAAAGGCAACCACCCCTAATGAATCTTGCTGGTAGTTTTGAGGATCACAAAAAATATGACAAAAATGGAACAGAGCTCAAGTCACAACTGATCCTGTTCGATGTAGGAGTTTAATTTGTTCTTAACTGGGGAATGCATTACAAGCTCAGGCTGGAGTACCTGGAGTCTGGGAAGATGCCCAATTCCCCAAATGTAGCAGAATGACAATAAATTCTGAAAAACAGGCCTTAAACCATGAGCTCAGGATGGCTGTACCAGAACCCTCCAGGTACAGCTGCTGTGTGAAAGGAGAGCAACCAGGACATAAGATCTGGAAGTGCTTTTTAGTGCTACATTTAGAATTCACGCAGCAATTCTGCAGAATAAACACGAATTTTATACTGGAGCTTTCATGGCTCGGTCTGAAAAGTATCCACTAACTTTCATTCCAATATTTGCCCTCCAGTCACACCAGCTGAGCTCAACTGTAGGGTAAGAGAAGGTACAAGGAAATAAAAGAGCTATTCCTTATCTATTTCAGCTGTAACAGAGTAAACAAAGCATAAGTGGAAAAATACACTACACCAAGGCATCCAACTGCAGTATCTCATGGCATCTGCAAATCTGAAGGAAACAAATTCCAACTTTTTTGTCTGATTACAGCAATTCTTCAGTTAAGAAGACCCAAAGAGACTCCTGGTAGGTAAGACTGCTGGCCACACAAACAGGCTTTGTATGCTAAAATCCTCAACTGTGGGTGTTTTTCCCATATGGAACATTTAAGGAAAATGCTTCAGTTTGCCCATGCTGTCCTAAATGTCCATACAGCTCCCCTACATGTAAATTGATTTCTCATGGTGAAGTTAATAAATAGCAAATACATAAACCAAGCAATATTACAACAGGAAAGCAGGAACTGTTTCAAATCTGTGATTACTCACCAGTTTGTTATAAAAAGATACAAAACCATAGCCTTTTGACTTTCCAGTTGCCATATCTTTAACTACCCGTGCATCCCTGTGAAAAGAAGCACAGCTATATGAGGGTAATATTAATAACCTGCAAAATAAAAACTAAAAGGAACCACACACACTGTATTGTGAGCATAATTTTTCTCTTATAAATTCAGTTAGCCCTAAAACTACAGTCATTCCTGAACTCTCCCCTATTGCTTCTTTACCTGTTAGAAAAAAGCAGTAGGACAAAAAAAATAACATGTAATAAACATGCAACCTATGCACATAACCTATGCTGGCTATAACTAGAATGTTCAAATTTGAAGTATAAGAGAAACAAAGTTTCCTTTTCTAATATTCTATTGGCTAGGGTCCTCTAAGGTTTACTGTTCTATAAATTACTGTAACAATTCTATCTAATTTACCATGCATTTTCTAAATAGTTAAATGTCTTCTGCCTAGTGATACAAAATATATGAAATATTAAAAAAATCGAAAAAGAGGAAAAAATAGGAATTAAAAGGCATACATGGCCTGTTAACAGATTTCTTTATTTTTCTTGGTCAATTCTCTACCATCATTTTGGAGTTTGGGTAGCTGTAAATTTTGAAAAATTGACATTTTCAGAAATTTAAGAAAGGAGAATAAAACTAACAACAATGCTAAGCACACCAGTACGAAAACAACAAATTTACACAGAAATTTTAGTGAGTAAGTTAAAATGATTGGAAATATAGAACTGCACTGAATATAGAATGTTAAAATGTAAATACTAAAATATGTATATATAAATAATGTATAATAAGAATAAATAGAAATGAGAAAAAATCTACAACTGAGTTCCAGTGTGCACAGTTCCTTGCAGTTAGCCTTCAAGATCCTGTCCATTCTTATGAGCAATTCTGCAAAATAACCAGAATGCTATTACTTTTAATTGTGACTTGGACTTTAGAAAAACTGCAGGTCTCAGGTATAAATATAGATCGAGAAACAGAAACCTGAATTATTCTCTTTAAATTGATTTTTAAAACAGTACTACTTACCACATTAAAGAGACAAAAAGCAAAGTAAACAAAACAGCAGAGGTAAGAAATAAGATTTATGATTCATTTCAAAATATGCGTACAGAACAAGAGAAAAATAAGAATTTTGGTCTTAGAAATATATTCCTGTAAAGTAGTACAAAAACCTTCATGTGCAACTTTCAAAGATTTTTATCAAGGTAAAGTAATAGAAGATTAACACTTTTTTTTTTTTTTTTTTCCCAGAACGCTTAAGCATAAATATATTTTAGCACTCACAAGGATTCTTGTAATGTTCAATATGCTCAATTAGGACACCAGGTGATTCAGCATCACCTGAACTGTCTATGAGAAGTTTAATGAAACGTTCTCTTAACTGGCAGAAATGTGCACATATTGTAAAGCCACCCTTCTTTAAGATATTATAATCTTAATTCAGCCCATAATTATCCAAAGAAAGTAGATTTCATTCTCATAAGTATCAGCTTTTTTCAAAACATTCCCAAGTTATTAACCAGCTGCTTCACAGAATTATATTCCAATTGCCCAGTTTTCCACACTGCCTATGAAATGCAGTATGAACCCATAAGAAACACACTCAGGATACAACAGATAGCAGTTTTCAAGTCACTACTCTGTACACCAAAAAGTCACACTTAGGAACAGTAATTAAATTGCAATAAAAAGTTGAAGGACATCAGCATATAAATTAGGTTAAAAGCACATTGCTTTCAGCAAACCAGAGCACAATTACATTACTGTATTTACAACCACGAGATACTGAGATACAACCCCTCTTTATAACCCACCCACCAGGGCAAAATCAACAGCAGAAAAATTATCTCATTAGGTAAGAAACAACATTTCATCTTAGAACACAAATTCTCTCCTATTTGCTGACTGATATTGGAAATGTTTATGATGATACTTACGATATTTTACCGAAAGGAGCAAATGCTGACTTGATGTCTTCTGTTGTTATTTCTGGACTTAAATCCCCAACGAACACATGGAAGTGATCTGCAAATAAATAATTTACTAATCAAATATTTAACTGCTATCCAAAGTTGCAGCTCCTGAGAAGGTGACGTTCTGCAGGCGGGACTGGGAAGCAGGAACGCTCAGGAGTCCACTGGATGAGCAGCAGCAATTTAATCTGTCCGCTCCTGTTTCCCCAGTTGTAAAGCAGAAACAGAAGAATTAGTTTGCAAAACTCTATTAAACACAAGATGGGAAGGAGAGAAGTTCTGTTTAAATGCATTTATGGCAAGTCATTACCAGGCTGTGAAGTATTTGTGTACAAGTGATACTGTGGCATTACATTACTTACTGGATGTATCTTTTTTCTGGCTACTTGGTGTTGTTGCCCAGTTTACTTTGACCTCCTGAAAACAAGTATAAGATTTAGTATGAATTCACAAAATTATTACATCATTAAGTTCATTCAAGGGTGGGTTACAACTGTCAATGTTTACAAATCATCATTCAATACAAAGCACCATCGTAACTAGAACATCACAAACAAAATGTTTCCTAAACAAGACACTTTTTTTAAAGTCGGTATTTTAAAAACATTATTCTAACAGTATTAAAACTTGGTAAACACCTTCAACAGCTTCATTAATCTTTCCCACAAATCTACATTGTTTAAATCTAAGATTACAATGTAAGCAACTTACCTTTCCCAAAATTTTTCTCCCATTCATAGCAGCTAATGCAGCAGCTGCATCTCTGTGTTCATAAAATTCCACAAAGCAATAAGGGTCATTGCTTGTATGCTGCAAAACAGAAAATCCAACAGAAGAGTTGACCCTTCTGCTATCGGGTTGCTGAGAAGAAAATCCAGGAAAATATATTACTTATAGCTAGAAACTTTCAGAGTGATTTGCATCAGATTTATGAAACTGCCTTTGACATTACACTTAAATGCAAGAATTATTAAGGTGGGCTTTTTATTAAAGGTCTAGCAATTTCTGAAGATGAGTTTACTTTGAATGAGGACTGAAGTTTACGGAGCTAAAAATAATTCAGCTACCAGAAAAGTCATCTGCAGACTGGATGGAAGGAGGGAAAGAAAGGGGGAGAATGGAGAGAAGAACAAAAATGGTCAACTGCCTCATGTACACACTCAGAGCTTGAAAGGTGTGTTCCCCAGGTACATTCTCACCAATTTTCTCCTGTCCTACTTAAGAAGTCTTTCCTTTTATTTGACTGAAAACCACTGCCAGGCAGCAACCCAGAAGTTGCACATTCTCAGGCTCAAGTGAAAAATGCCATACCCAACAACTGGAAAATTATCTTTTAAAAATACCCTCTAAATAGTTTGACTGAGGGAAAAAGATACTAATCAACTGCCTGTTAACCCTGTTAAACCTCGGGTACAACCTGTTCCTGCAGGATGGCCTATCAAATCACCTTTAAAACAACAAGTGACAGACATCACTGAAGGCATTAATGGAGCAGAGTGTAAAGTGCAAAGAACAGGAGAGTTTGCTGAAAAGTTGATGAAGTGGAAAGGGTGACTGGAATGCCAACATTAACACTGGACTTGATCTACCCCAAAGATGTAAGGAATAGAAAAACTCACACCAAAACATCTCCGTTAACTGCTCTGCAGCTACACCAAAAGTTGATAAACACTAATGTTAAACTAAACAAATTATTTCTCACAAGGACAGAGGAGGGTCTAGCACTTGGAGAAACTGCTTTGGCATCAGTGTTCATGTCTATCAACCTCCCCACTGCCAGGTTGGACACAGCTCTGAGAGGAGGCCTTTTCCAGTATTCCTGTGGAACTGCTGACAACCCTGACACACTCCCATTGAGGAAGAGGTTCTAATCCTTCCCCTAAAAGTGGATTGTACACCTTCAAACATAGTTCTGTCTACATCTGAACAAGGCAACCTAGGAAGATGCAACAGTTGAAGAGATCACAAGCCCTTTATACACCCAAAATGATCAAGCAGTCTGAAGTCAACCTTCTAAACATTGTCAGTACCTGATGCACACAATGAACAGTTGGGAGAAAATGTACCTGAGATCATCAAAAAAGAGTTTCAGTCACCAAGTGTTCTTCAAGCAAACTCACCTCAGCTGCCCCAAACCAGAGAGCAGTAATTCACCCCTGTCCCCACAGCACTTTGGGAAACCCATTTAAGGCCTCCCTAGCAAATTTACTGCAGTTCATGCTTCAACTGAAGGGCAACTTTGCTTTTAGACTGCAGGAAGGTCTTTAGCACTGAGAACCTGTCTGCAGACACTCAGATCTTCTGGTGTTCAAACTACCTGCAGATGCTGTGTCCCACCGCCCCCTGAGTATTATATCCCCCAAACAAACACCTGGAATCTCTAAACACTTGACTTGGTCATGCTGCGTTTCTGTGAATGAAAAAGAATGAGCTGACACACCTGGCTAAAAACTGGAAAAGAAACCAAACTGATCTCCCAGCTCTCAATCAGCCTGAGGTTGGAGCAGCAGCACCTTATTTCTGTAGAGCATGACAATCAACTGTTTCTTCAGAGAAAAACAACTGTGCTCTGGCAGCCTTCTGTCACCTTCCCAGTAAACTTGCAGTGAGTGTGGCACAGCTCAGTGTCACATGGGAAATTCTTAGGCCAGACAAAGATGAGAGTGAATAAAGAGGCAGTAAGTGGATAATAAGGAGCTAAAAACAAACAAAAATCTGTGTGTCACAGTGAAAGGAGAACAAGTCCACAGAGGAGTTTCCAGCAGCATTCCTAAAAAACTCTAGACACGAGACTTGCCTTCTAACAGTGTCATTAATAATGTTAACAAAAAACTGATGTGACTGTCCTCGGGAAATCTGTAATTACAAGTCAGTAGGAAGCATAAGAAGTAGTAAAAGTGGGAAGAGTGCACAGAAAGCAGGGCTGAAGGACCAAAGACTGAACCCAGCAGAGGTTCTGATCAGTCCCTGCCTGCTCTGAGTTTATCAGTTATAAATGCAGGAGGAAGGAAAAATATCAGGGAGCCAGAAGTCTCCTAGGATGTGTCAACAGGTCACAGAAATGGTCACCAAGCCCTTGCAAACACCAGAGCATTTGCAATGGAGAAAGGAAGTGTTAATACTTACCAGCACTTTGTACAAAAGAACTTATCTGGAATCCTATGGAAATTTTGTCACTTTGTTTCAAGAAAAAAATTAATTTAAGAACAGACAGGTGCAGATGAGCTATTTTCAATGGCACAGAGGAGGCTCAGGAAGAGCCAAAGTTATTTTGAAGGATGTTTTACTTTTCATCCCTAGCAAAGTAGCATTTATTCAAGAGGGAGAAGAATTACTGAGGGTCATGTTCAAATAAAGAGAGAAATGTACAAAATAACCAAAATAACACTTAATACAACAAGGTTTCTGATCATCAAGACAATGTGGTTGTGAAAAGAGGTGGTAACAATCTCTTGGATGAAGTGGAATCTCATCCCCAGGTATGTCAGGGCTGCAGGAACAGCACAGGACTGCACAACAGGTCCCTCCTGCAAAGTTATCCCCAGAGCCCAGCACAACCAACCTACACAAACCCATCACCAGTCAGGTCAGAAGAAGCTCTCAAATCACTCCATTTATTTTGGACAACTTAGGATAAAGTGACACTACATTTGCTACCCCCCTAGATGTGGAAGGCCTTACCTCTGTTATCATTTTACAGCTTTTGCATGGTCCAATCTGGCTGAATAACTGAAGTATGAGAACTTCAGTCACATCTCTGGAGAGGTTTCCTACATAGCTACACAAGGAAACAGAACAAACAAATAAACAATCAATCAATATTTTAAACCAGAAATTGTCACCTTTTAAAATGGAATTACAATTTTAAAATCTTAAATGGTCATGAAAACAAAAAAATCTCCCTTTAAACATCCCAGACATCTTAAGGACAGTATTTACAAATTATTTCCTATAGTTTTTACATTCATATAGTTTCTAAAGTTGGCAACACAACTGAGAACACAAAGTTTGATTCAGACAGAATACTGGACATCAATACCTAGTGCCAGTCATTTCCTTGGCAAAGAAGTGTAAAAGGCATGAAGAACATTGCTCAAGAACCTTGGGCAGAACAAGCGACCAGCTGGGCAAAGGTATTTTAAGTTTCACTTCCCACTGAACATCTAATCCAGAGCACTTCTGAATTTGGGGATGAACCCACACCCAACTGCCAGGAGCTCAGGAGCAGCTATTGGACAAACTGTGCTGCCTTGCAAGCAACCAACTTTTGTGTTTTCCTGAACATTTGGAAAACCAGCCCACTCACCAAGAGACACGGCAATTTATGCAGCATTCTGCCATAGGAATGCTCTGTACAGCATCATCTGAACAGCTCCCACCTCTGTTATCCTCCCAGAATTCTGACAGCGTTATTTCAATATCACACACACTTCTGGATTTTTCATATTTGTAAATCTTGAGAAATAATTCCAAGTTTTGAAATACCGACCAAGTTCAGATAAGACTCCTAGATTTCCCAGGTCAAAGATGGCTGAGAAAGTCATGAATGCAAAACCAAATCCTTTTCTAAAATGTGACTAATTGGTAATCCAATTGTAATGAGAGTGATCAGTTAAGAGAAAGGCTTGTCCCAGTAGCAGATGTCCAAAGCCATCAGCAGAGGGGCATTCATCATCCTCACAAACAAGCCTGTCAAGGCATAAAGCACTCAAATGCAACCAGTAAGGTGAGCAGACCTTTTTGTGATTTAGCTGTTGGAGCACACACACTTTACTCCCTTTACTCTCATCTGTCAGACAAAGCCATACAACAGTAACCTGAAGTGGGTGTGAGGTGAAGGCACTCCAGTGCACACCAGTGTGAGCCGGCGCTCCTCAGTGTGTGCACACACCATGTTCTGGGAGCAGGTAAAGAGGGTGCACTGCAACTGCTGGAACGGGCACCTCCAGCATCTCTGACAGGGGACAACTGGACTTTCATCCCGCTCCAGAATTCCAGAGGACACTGTTTGTTTTCATCTGAAGCCACACAAGGTTATCAACACACGTGTGTTTATGCTGCCCTTCTTTAAACACCACAAACAGTTGTGCAGTGGCTCAGTCAGGACTACACAAGATCCAGAGTGAGTTCCTTACACGTATCACATCACCTGATAACAACAGCCATTAAAACCTTTCACACACCCAGTACTTGCTTACTAAGTACATGAGAGTTAACACAAGTCAGTAAGAGAAGCATTTCAGCACAGAAGGTAAAAACTGCAAAGTTCTGTAAGACCCCTTACAGGACAAACTGTCCATCTCACTGACTCTTCAGTTCTCTGTTCTGAAAACTTAGCAGTTAAACATTTATCCCTGCTTTCTTTCTGAAATATTAACTAAATTTCTGTTAATCATTCACCAAGATTGAATTGTAAATAACTAAATAACTAAAAAAAAACCTAAAAAACTAATAACTTTAAGTGGAAATATTAAGTTTTGCAGATATGACAAAAATCACATGGAAAATATAATTACCAGGGGGAGTTCCCATATAAAGGGTCAGCAGTGCTGTGAACTTATTACTTGTTTCCTTTGTACACTGTAGAACAGTATTAATTAATCCCATGCTTTCACAGCACACTGAAACAAGCACCTGGACACTGGCACTGACATGGAATTAAATACAGTGAAGTCCTATTAGCATTATTTCTACTGTAAAATCAGATACAGTAAGTAAAATTAATACTACCAAAACCCCAAATATCATCCTCTTCTGCTTAATAGTACTTTGGAAACACACGAAGTCTGAAAAGCAACCTGAAGAATTCTTGGTCTGACAAAAAAAAAAAAAATCCAGAATAAAAAGGCCAGGAAAAGTCATTCCTCAGAAATCTACTCAATCAAGGGTAGATAAATGACACGAACTGCTAGAAGAGATTACCAGCTGTTTTCCAACACCACTCCGTGTTCAGCAAGAGAGCTGGGAGTGAGACTGTTGCATCATAAACCTTAGCTATGGAACAGGCTGCCTCTTCCTAAACATCAGCAGGGTAAATCTGGACCACCTGCCTGCTGCATTCAGAGGGGATGTGAAATCCTACCGGTGCAGGAGTTCTCTAAATGCAAGGATAAATCCTGCCTTGGTGTTTAATATCCCACAGGCAGAGGCGTTCCCACCTTCCACAAGGTGCTAACACTCTAAACCTTGAGTAGGACACAGGCTGAGAGCAGTGCACACCAACGGCTCGTGTCACAAGGACAGCACCCAGAGAGACCCAAAGCTTTCAAAATGCATGTAAAATATGGGAAAACAAAGCTCTACCAACCTGAAACAGTACACTGAAAAGTAAGACCTGATGGTTACTTCCATGTCTTTAAGCAGGTTGCAGTAACATCCCTTCCTTCAGTACAGTCAGAGATGACTTTGAAATAACCCACGTTCAAGCAAACACCTTCAGTGTAAATGCTGGAATATCACAGAACTGGAGAAGAATGTATATTCAAGACATGAAGAACAGACACCTCACCTTCCTGGAAACACAAGCCCTGGCTGGGCTGATGCTATCGCCTCCCCCCACAGCCAGCCCGCTGCTGCACCAGCTTTCCCTTTCCTAACTGTGTCCTGCTGCACGAAACCAAAACGATCAGAACCACACCCGAACAAGGCATACAACTCTCAACACGCTGCTCTGTGTTCTCTCAGTATTTCTGGACTGATACAGTCTAGAGGATATATTGTGCAAGCTTCAAAAAATTATCAAACCCAACAAAGAACCATTTACCATAAACTTTTGCAGGCTGTTGTGGTGGTCAGTGTGACAGGGCAGCAAAAGTTGTGCCTTTTTGCAGACAGGCAATGGTGTTTGCTCCCTTCTGCAAGTCTGAGGCACTTAAATACCAATTAAGCAGCAGATACACAAAGCAAACCCAACCCACAGATAGATATTTTGATGCAAATTTCAATATATTACACTAGAATAACAAACTACTTGCAATTCAGAGACCCTGGAGAACTATGGAAAGAATACAAGCAGCACATTATCAGTAAGTAATGAGTTTTAGAATTAAACTCTTTCTACCTGAGCAGAAAAATCCTCTTTGTGAAGGTACAGGGGTTTGTACCAAACCCTAGACAGGCAGGGAAGGAAGGGACATTTACAGCCACCACTTTTAGGTCCACAAAAGTCCCCTACATACTTTTTTGAGGAAACACAGTAAATGTGATTTCACTGTCACACAGACAACGTGCAAGGAATGGCAGCTCCCATATTCAAAAGAAGGAACCACGATAAGCAGTAAGGTCAGTGATGGAGAGCAGCATCTCTGCCTAGTGCTGCTGAGCTACTGGAATAAAATATTGCCATGGAAAATCCACTCTGTGGCCTCCACAGGCAGCCAACACTCCTCTACAGGAGAGCTGAACTGAAAGGGGGAGAGAAGTGAATCCCAGTGAAGTCTGATTTCTGCACCCCATCCACACTCCAGGACACTTGGAATACTCCCTGGCAAGGCTGATGAGATAGATAACGACTGGTAGGTATTCAGTGACTGCTTGTGAAGTCACTGAACACCTACAGACCGTACAAAACATTCCTAAAACCATCAACAAGAGGAACATTCGAATTTGGAACTTTTCTTCTGGTTATCAGTGAGAGCTGATCACAGCAGCAGCACATCAGGTTTCCAATAGTTTAGTTTCCACTTGAAAGCAGAAGCAGGACTTGGATAGAGGCTGTGAGATCTGATAGCACTCAGAACACAGAGCTTTCAAGTGTTCTATTAAAAAAAAAATAAAAATCAGAAGCCCACAGCTCATCTTAGGACCAGCTAAAAAACTACATGTGACAGATCCTACAAAAAGGCCCTCCTTTCTGGAAAGCTTCCTGGCAGAAAATACGGAAGGTTATTCTTCCCGATTCTATAAAGGCCTACTGGTTATGAAATGTGAGAAACAAAAATGTAAATGGTGTCTATTTTCTATACTAAGGCTGAGAAAATATTCTGAATTCTTAGAGGTTCATGACAGACCTCTCATGATTGGAAACAACACAACTACTGCGAAGGGAAACAATCCTTATTCCTGAGGTATTCAAGATGGGCATAAATGTGAGGTGGTTGGGTAGGTTTCTCTTTCTATAATTAAAAACCATTGCTTGCAACTGTTAAAAAAGAAAATTCCTTCCCAACTTACAAGGTTGGTTTTTCACCCCTGAAGGAATAAATGCAAATCCAAAGACATTCATGATGTATTGCTTTAACCATCAATCAAGTGCTTTTGCACATGGTCAAACAGCTACTGAGACAACTTGTTCTTCACTTCCCTTTCCCCCCAAAATAAAAAAACAAACAAAGAAAACTTAGACGTTCAACTCACAATATTTACAGTCGGTTTTATTTATGAAATCACAACTGCTCTACATGCAAAGCATTACTCAGGATAATAATCTTTAAAACACGACTTGCAATTCTAAATTTAAAGATATTTCAGATAAAAGTAGGGACAAGAGGGTGATGTAAGAAATGTCACAGCGAAATTTTTGTCTCTCATGCAAGAAGCTTTCAGGTAATTACAGGAATGCAACCCTATGTGACTGTGGTTACTGCAGAACCACGAGGAAATTAATGTATGTGCTGTTTATTAGTTTGACAAATTAAACAGTCACGTGTGCAGTAAAACATTTTGGGCAGCTGCAGAGCTGCCACTTCAGACATCTCAGTACAAATGTGTTTTTCCCTTGTTGGTGACAAGTGGGCTGAGGGATCCATCCTTGATGGATGTGTTCAGTGAGCAGAACCCACTCCCAGTGTGGCACCAAAACTTGTCAGCAGTAACAGAACATTTTCAAACTTAGTGGAGATATAGCACTTATTAAAATAAAATAAAGGAGCCAATCACGAAGAAAAGAACCTTGAAAATAAAACTGAGTAAAACTCTCCGTGACTCTGCCCTTTTCCCTCCTCCCCTTCTACAGCAACACTCAAACCTCTGTCCACTAGCAGGGCCAAGCAAACTCGGACCACCCGGGTAATCCACCCAAAAAGCATTTCAGATCTGTTGATGTAAACTGTGCACCTCAGGGAGCGAGGGCTGAGCGCTCACACCACACCATGAACAAGCTAAAAGAACTTCTGCAGACACAGAGAGCAGAAAACACACGAACTGCCCGGAGAAGCCTTAAATGCCAAGTCATCATTTTGGGAGTGAAAACGATGAGACCTTTTACTCTCGTTTCAGGAGTTTCTTTCGAGTGCCCTTCAATCCAGACTATCTTTGATCGCCTCTCTGAAGGCTACTGTGCCAAAAACTAAACAGGCAAAGAAATAATTGCGCCGTCCCGAGCTGTGTTCGTCACCTGGGCAGCCCAGCCTTTCCGACGGGGACAGCGGGGCTCCCACAGCCCGGAACACCCTCTGGCAACCGGGACCCCAAACCCAGGGGCTGCTCCAAGCTTTGCCCAGCGCGATCGCGGGGCTCTCCCGCGCCCGGACACGCGTGCGAGCCACCAGCACAAAGAACACGCACCAAAACCACACCTGCGGAGTCGGGAAGAACTCAACGCCGCCCGCTCCGACAAAAGCCCTCCGGTTTCTATTTTTCAGCAGAGAGCAGGTGACAGCGGCCGAAGCGAGCGAGGCCGGCAATGACTCCTCGGCCAGGGCCGCCCCCCGCGCCTGCCCCGCGCGGGACACGCGGGAGGAGCGGCGATCCCGCCCGGCGCTGCACAGCCCACCCTGCCCGGGGGAGCACAAAGAGCCTGCCCTGCCCCGGCACGGCCCGGCCCGGCACCCCGGGGGGGCGGCCCGGCAGCCCCGCGGCACCTCCAGCCCCCGGGACGGCCCCCCGGCCGCCGGGATGGGCCCGGTGGGTTCCCGGGCCCGGCTCCGGTTTTCCCGGTGTTCCCCTGGATGGCTGCAGCGCGATCCCCCCGCGCTCCCGCCCGGACGCCGCTCTCGGCCCTCCGAGCCCCCTCCGCTCCCCGGGGCCCAGCGGGACCCCCCGGGCGCGCACCCCGTCCCTCAGCCCGCCCGCCACTCACAGGGTCCTGGGCTGCCCGTCGTCTTCCATGATGGTGGGCGAGCGCCGCTGTGGGCGGCCGCGGCCCTGTGGCGGCGCGGGGGGTGCCGTGCGGCGCGGGCAGGCGAGGGGAGGCGCGGAGGGCGCGGGCTGGGGCGCTCGGCGTGTGCCCCGCGCCGGGACCCGCGGCCGCGGAGCCCGAGCGGGACGGCGAGCGGCGGCACCACAAAATGGCGGCCGCCACCAGACGCTCAGGAAGCCGCGCTCCGCGCACGCGCCGGCCGCGCGCGCTCCCGGACCCGCTTCTGCTCGGCCGCGCCGCGGGGCGCGCTGGGGCTCGTAGGCACGGCCGGGAGCGGCGCGGCGGGGCCCGGGGCACGCTGGGAGTTGTAGTTCTGCTCCCAGGGCGGAGACAGGAGGGGCCGCGGAACGAGAACTACCGCTCCCGGCGTGCCTCGCGGCGGCGGCGCGGAGGGGGGCGGGTCCTGGCGGCCGCGATTGGCCGCGATTGGCCCCGGGCAGCCCGGGAACATTCGCCGCGCTCCGAGCCCTCAGCCCGGCCCCGAGCCCTCAGCCCTGAGCCCGGCCCCGAGCCCTCAGCCTGGTCCTGAGCCCAGCACTGAGGCCAGGCCAGCCCTGATCCCGATCCCAGCCCTGATCCCAGCCCAGCCCAGCCCTGATCCCGAGCCCATCACAGCTCAGCCTCGACCCCAGCCCCGAGCGCGCTCCGAATTCCATCGCTAATGCCATCCTGGAGCCCAGCCCAGCCGAGCCCGGTGCCGCTGCCATCCGCAGTGCCAGCCCCGGGATGGAGTCTGAGCAGCCCGGGCCGGTGAGAGGTGTCCGTGCCCGGGGCAGGGGATGGGGCTGGGTGAGCTCCAAACCGCTCCTCGGTTCTGGGCTCAGAGCGCTGCCGATGCCCGGGGTAAATCCAAAGGGAGCCCCGTGTGCCTCATCCTTCCCCAGCACTCGCAGCACAGGCATCAAGCAGTGATTTCTGGAGACTCCTCTGGAAGCGATCTCCTTTTTATATTAAGCACAAAAATCCTTGCTGACATCATTAAACTGCTCTTGCCACCAAAATAAAAAGAAAAAAAAAAAAGCTAAATGGAAGAATTTTTATGGCAACTTTTCTTTTTCTTTAGCTGGTGAGAAGCTAAGTTGGGAGTTGTCAGTGAGGAAATGGATCAGAATAGCACAGGCAGAGTAGGAGCATCCTCACATGCAATTGCTGCAGATTAATCACAGCACTCTTATTCTGGAAGAAATTCAGTTTGTACACACACTGAATATTCAAGCACTCTTAAATACTCCCCCTCTTCCAAAATAGTAACATCACAGAGAACACTGCTTATATACTTATCAAACTAGATATCTGCATGCCTGCTGCTCACACGGGAATGTTTTCCCCTCTTTAATTTAAACAGGCAACACTGTTGCCAGGCACAGACTTCTGGAAGAAATTATTCCAGCACATGGATGCAGATAGAGGTGGTTTAAGCAACTTTTTTAAGATACATCAAACCCACAAAAGGTTGAATATGTGAGGACTTTACTGGGATACTCTGATCTCGGGTTGTGAACAGCCAAAGATCTGCATGCAAACCATCCATGTGGATTTGGGGAGCTGCAAATCAACCCCAGCACTGCAGGAGTTTGCACTGCCCTGGAGGTCCCACCATCACTGGTGCATCTGTGTAACCATAACTGGCAGGCTGGAGCCTGGGTGCAGCATGTCTGGATTAGCAGTGCCTGCTGGTGAAGTCTGTGGGCTAAAAAAGTCATTGAAACCAGAGAGTACCATTTATATATATAAATATATTTAATTCCATATTGAGGGTTGGAACTAGATGGTCTTCAAGCTCCCATTCCAACCCCAACCATTCTATGATTCTCTGATTCTATGATTCTGTGGTTCTGTGACATAAAGGTAATTTTAACAACATACTTTAACTGTTTTGCCGTATGCAAAGTGACCAGCTACCTCCAAAAAACAACCAGAAAAGCACTAAATGTTATTCTCCTCTTACCATAATGAAGAATTGCACTAGAGCTTCAGTAAAGTTTCACCCAAATCTCATTTCATCCCCTTTAAACCTTGGGGTTTTCTGCCTTTTTTTTTTTGTCCCCAGCATTGCCAAGTCCCTGGCAATGCAGGGATCTTTGTTTAATGCAGCCATAAATGGCATTATTTTTTAAAAAGCAGGAAAAACGATTTCCTGATTCAAACTTTTCACATTGCATTAATCAAAACTCAGAGCATTGGAGCTTCTATTTTACTCTGTTAGTCATCTGAGGGTGTAGGAATGGCACGAAGGGCTGGTAACAGAGGTAATTTTGTGCCAAACTACTCCAAAATGAATGACTGCAAAAAATGCCTGAGAAGTTTCTTAAACCACACCATGTTTTTCCACCCCTAAAATCAAAGAGGTTTTTGGTAGGACCCCAGCATTGGGTCCTTACACCAGCCCAGGCTGTGGCAGAAAACCTTCACCAAAACTGAGAATGAGGTAAAAGAAAAGGGTTTACCTCCTGGGTTTAAAGAGTGACAGATTTGCAGTGTTCAGAGTGTTGGATAGCACTGATCCCAGGAGAAGCTCTCGGGAAACTCCACCTTGCAGCTGTGTTCTCCCGTTAACAAGAGCCTTTTCCAGGTTTGTTAGCAGGGCATCAGTCCCAGCCAAGGTGGGTTTAGGAAAGGCAAGTCCTGCTTGAGCAACCTCGCGTCCTCCTGTGACAGAGTGAGCTGCTTGGTGGATGAGCACAAAGCTGTGGCTTTGGTCTGTCTGGCCAGCAGTGAAGCCCCTGACACCACTTCCCACAGCGTTCTGCTGAGGCCTGGACAGCTGCACTGTTTGGTGGTGGATGGCAAAGCCCAGAGGGTTGCCCAGTGGGCAGCTGATGGCACAACAACATTCCCTGGAAACAGTTTTCACTAAGTGTTGATCTAGCAAAGGAATTGTTTTTGGACCTGCCTCTTCATTTATCTCCTTGTCAGAGTATCTTATCTCCTAGAAACTGTTGGCTTTGCATACCTTGTTCTGAATGGCAGGGCTGGCAGCTGTGCTGTGGCAGTGAAATCTTGCAGAGATGGTTTGCCAACCTGTCTTCACCTCAGTTCTAAAACCAAACACTTTTAAATTTTTTTTTTTGCTTTGTTTTATTCTACAGAACCTGCATTTCACAGATTTATGAAGGATATCAAGACACAAGAAAGGCTCGAGTTCCCAATCATCACCTCAGACCACTGTGGGTGTTTCTCACGTGGAAGAATAACTCAATCAGGAATTATCCAGGGCCTTTACACATCAAAAGGTCATTCTGCCAAAAATAAACATAAAGATGCTGCCAGTCTAATGAAAGTTTAGTTCAAATGCCACCCAGAATTTGTCATCTGTCAGCTTTCCTGTCTGCAAGAGGAAAACACTCCTGTATTCTTAAATCCAAGAGAACTCTGTTGTGTCACACTGTTCCTGTGTGACCACAGCCTAAGCTCTGGAAAGGCACTGGATGTGATCCCACAGGGCCAGCAGGAGCAAAATGGGACCTGGTGAAGTCAGTCAGCTAAATACACAAATAAACTGATGCAGTGCTGCTTTCCTGATGTGAATGAACATAAACTCTGGAGACCATCCCTCTGCCTTAACTGCAGCTGCTTCCAGAAGCTGGAAACTTCACAGCATCTTTGTCTCTGTTGTTAAACCAAACAAAACCAAGCCAAGATGAAGTGACTCCCCAGACATAAGAGGAGACATCTTGAGGAGCAGTGAGTGGAAGATGGAGCAGGTCCCAACATCTCTCCTACTGCTCTTCAGCTCTGGTCAGCTTAACCCAAGGAGCCAATTCCAACACTCTTTTTTCACTCAGGACTTCATTCAGCATGAAGTTGCAGGACTTGAGTTTCCACAGGCTCCTGAGGGATGTACTGGCAAGGGTTACTTTGTTTTTCTAACCTACACTGAGAATACACACAGTTGCTGGACCTTCAATCTGTTGAAAATTTCCCACCATCTGCACTACGTGATGATTTTCTCAAATCTGCTTATCACAATTACCCCAGTTTTGATGCTTGCAGTTCAAGAGTTTATTGTACCAAAGCCCTGGAGCAGAACTGTGTAAGATATGCCTTTATTTGCCTGTTCAGAACCAAAAGAGATGTTATTCCAAACTACTGACCCAAGACCTAACTTTTTAAATATTCATTTCTGCCCATTATGAGTATTTCATAATCACTCGACATCTTTGTTTAATTATGATAAATGATGATGCTGAACAAGAATACTGCAGTGGGTTCCTGTGCCTTCTTTACATTCCCCTTGACTGTACAGTTACACCATGATTTCCTGTCACCAAATGCACAACCTGGCACCAAAAACTCTTTCAAAGGTTTTGTCTCCTCTCCCTCCCTTGCAAGTTCCTCCTGGATGTTCAGGCTTGGCATTGCTCCCAGTGAAGATGTGGAGCTGAAAAACCTGGTGAAACAGCAAGGTTCAGCTGCTTGGTTCTGCTGCCGTGGATTAAAGCAGCAGAGGGTGAAGGCTTCAGACATCATTCTCAAACAAAACTTTGTACCTAATGCAGGGTGGACTTCAGCAAACACAGATACAGAGCCAGCTCTTTGCATATATTTCCACTTTTGATGTCTTGAAAGGAAATTCCTTAAACACATACACAGGGAGCACCCTGACCTGACAACCTCAGCATTGCCATTAAAAATATGGCTGTGATTGAGATTATCACGAGCAGGATTGTTTGGTTGTTTCTAGTCAGCTTTGCTCTCCCAAGTTCCTGTAACATCTTCACTGAGCAGCTGCTCCTCCTCATCTTTCTGCAGCAGGAGATCTTTCCCCTGCCCAGCTGTTGCTTTCCATGGAGTGTGTTGGGATGCAATGGCTTTGAAATGCTCCTCCTGCTCAGATTAATGGCAAAGAGGCCAGGGATTCAGAGCTCTGATAGACAGGCAGCAGGACTGCATCAGCACCTTTTCCCTGGGAATGGGCTAAAGAAGGAAAAGGATTTATTCCCAAGGGGCCAGGGAATCAAAGGAAAACCCCACCACAACAGACTTTCTCAGCAGAATGTGCTGACTCCTGGAAACCAAACTGTCCTCAGGACTACGAGCTCTGATGGCACAATTTTCAGAGAAAAGACAAAAAACCCCACATGCAGTGATCTTGTGGTGTGGAGCTCAGCTGGGCTGTGAGAAGTAAAGGTTAGGCTCTGGTTT